TTTAGTAGTCCTCAATATCCTCTTGGTTACTTTTTTTGTGATAATAAGGTCCGAAATTTTTTCCCAACATTCAATGTCCTCCCCTCTTTTAGCTATGTTGAAAGTTAACCCCTCAAAATGCCCTCAGAATTACACCTACTCTAATATAGACACTCTGTGTGCACTCGGTTTATCTGGTTCAGCTTCTCTTCCCACAGTTAGTTATATGAAATGACAAAAAACCTACCTTGAGGATACTAACCATTGTCCATTTTCTGTCTTTCCTTAGTGTTATATTCACCTGAGGAAGAAAGGGAAGGGAAAGAAAGGGAATAAACATTTATTAAGTACCTGCAGTGTGCCAGGCACTGTGCCAAGTTCTCTACAAATATTATCTCATTTGATCCTCACAACAACTCTGGGAGGCAGGTGCTGTTATGATCCCCATTTTACAGATGAGGAAGCGGAGGCAGACGGAGTTGCCCAGGGTCACACAGCTAGGAAGTATCTGAGGTCAAATTTGAATGCACATCTTCCTGACTCCAACGTCCCATGCGCTATCCAGTGTACTATCTAGCTGCCTCTAAGGGTGGTTGGTGGTGAGAACAATACTTTATTCTTGTTCCAGAAAGAAAAATTTGGTTGCAATCTCTCGGCACTTGCCTCAGTATGAGTGAATCCAGTGCTCAGGCTTCAGACCACCTGGCCTTACCCTAACCCCAAGCCTAGAATTTGTGTCTTCCCTGTCTGCTTGTCTCTTTGTGGCTGGCCTCCATAATCCATGCTTACATGGCTTCAGCAGGATTATCTGTTTCCTATTTTGAGTGAAGTCAGTGGAGGACAGGAGGATGATGGGAATTCTCATCTTTGTCCACAGCTGAGATACTAGTGTCCCAAACCACTGAAACTGGAGCAATAAATAGACATGGATTTGGGAGGCCAGAGTATTATATTTTATTTAATAAACACGTTCTCTACTCAACATAATACAATAAAATAATACTCAGTAAAAGAAATAGGAACAAAACATGCAGACTTAAATGGAGATTAAATAACATCTTGAATAATGAGTGAGTTGAAGAACAAATAGTAGGCACAGTAATGATGTTGACCAAGAGGATTAGAAAAAGAGAGAACAGATTAAAACTTGTGGGTTGCAGCTAAAACAATCCTGAGAAGAAAAGTTCTGTCTCTGGAAACTAATGTTAACAAAACATCGCCAAAAGAGCTACGAAATAAGCATACATTTAAAAAAAAGACTATAGCATAAACAAGTTCACAGCTCTAAGACAAGAAGACCCCTTCAGAATGAGGAAGAATCAGCTCAATTGAAAAGGGCAGAGTATTTGAGGAGCTCCGATTGTCTTCAGAGAAGCTCCTGGAGAATGCAGGCAAGCCAACCCGCCTTTATTTGGGCACCCCATGATTGCCGGTCACTCGGATTCCAGTTCTCCTCCAGACTTACCTTTGTAAAGCCAAGTGACCTCTGCCTCCCTCGGTTTGGTGCTGAGTAAAATATGGGTAATTCCACATATTCCTAAGACACCGCTCATTGGCACTCTTCCATATAGTTATCATTGGAATAGCTTACCCAAATAGAAAGTGAAGTTACCCTCTGCCTTCAATACCAGCATCACAGACACCTCAATAAACATTTGTCAAGCTACATTTCTTACTTCCTCTTTCCTTCTTTGTGAAAAGACAGAAAGTCCCTTTTCTTTGAGACAAAGCCTCTAAGCTTCCCTCTAGATATAAGACCAACACATAATGGCTGCAGTAAGTGAGCAGCACTCCCAGATGCCATAGCAGGGCTCCATTGCAGGAAGTGATTTCCTATCATTTCAGCCCTACAGGTTCTGCTCTCTTAGAATGATGTGCTTTGCTGATATTGAAAGTGTGGCTGCTACTGCTGCTAAGTGTGCTTTTTGTTGTGAAGCAGTGATATGAGGAAAACACTGAGCAGTCTTCATTCAATTCCGAGCCTTGGAATCTTTGACTTCCTGCCTTCTCGTTGTGTCCTATACTTTGTGGTTAACAGCGTCTCTTGTAAACAGTGTGGCCCTTGCTATAGATTCTCTAGAATTCAAGCTTAGATTTGATCACAATTCACTTTACTCAGTTCATTTACACTACTCAGTCATAGCATTGGCTTGAAGAGTCAATCTTAGCTTTATTCGGCACCTAATTACTCCACTGTCTTTTAGAACTTTCAGATTTGCAGATGATATAAAACTGAGAGCCAATGCTGCTGCAAGGCCAATGCCCCCAAAGAGATCAAAGAAGGAGGAAGAGGATCCCCTCCCCAAATATATACACAAATGTTTATAGCAGGGTTTTTTTGTAGTGACAAAGAATTGGAAACTGAGGCTGTGTCCTTAACACTTGGGGAATGGCTGAACAAATCATGCTATATGAATGAACTTTAAGAAAAGATGAAAGGAATGGTTTCACAAAAGCCTAGGAAGAACTGATACTGGGTTAAGGGAGCAAAACCAAGAAAACAGTTTAAACAATAACAACTATTTTGTGAAGACTGACAACTTTGAAAGACTTAGGAACTCTGATCGGCGCAGTGACCACCGACTGTTCCAGAAGACCTGTGATCAGACACGATGCCCACCTCCAGATAGAAAGGTGATGGACTCACGTGACATATTGAGGCATCTTTTTTGGATATCATTTTGCTTGGCTTTATATATGTTTGTACTGGGAGCTATGTTTTTCTTGCTTTCTCGATGAGCATGGGGCAGGGCTGGCGGGAAGCAAGAGGGAGATAATTCACACTTGAAAATAAAAGAAAATTGATAAAGAAAAGACAAAAAGGCTATTTAACATTTTGGCCAAGAGTGAGGGTGCAAAAAGATCTTAACGCACTGGAACAATTGGCAAAATCTAATAAGATGAAATTTTATAAGGGGAAGTAAAGTCCTTAAAAAGTGACTTAAAAAAAAGCAACCACAAAAGTACAGGATAGGCTAGGTATGTCTAGACAGTTGAGTCACCAGTGTGATGCAGCAGGCGGCCAGAGCGGCATCGTGTCTAGAACGAGGGAGGCGGTAGGTTCACTCTCCTCTTCCCCGACTTCCTCAGAATACATCTGGAGGATTGTGTTCAGATCCAGGCATCACATTTTTAAGAAAGACCCTAATAAATAAGAACACATCAAGAGAAGGATAATCGGGTTGGTGAAAGGCTTCAAGCTAAGACAAGGAGCATGATGTGAATAAGGCAAACCTGGGTTCACATCCTACCTCAGACATGTGACTATGAATGGACAAGGTGCTTGGCTTCTCTGAGCCTCGGTTTCCCCATCTGTAAAAGAGGCATAGTACCTATGGAGTTGTTCTGGAGCTCAGATGAGATCATCCACTTAAGCCAGGTACTGGGGATTCAAAGACCAAAGTGAAACACTCCAACTGTTCTTGTCCTTTAGCGGCTTACATTCCACTGGGAGGAAACAGCATGAGTGCATGAAAAAGATTCAGAGTAAACACGAAATAATTTCAGGGTGAATTCACTATGAGAATCAGGAAAGACCCCTTATATGAGTTGGGATCTGAGCTATGCTTTGAATGAAGCTAGGGATTTTATAAGACTAAGGTGAGTAGAGGGAGCACTCCAGGCGTGGGAGACCACCTGTGCAAAGGCATGGAGGTGGGAGATGAAATATTGTATATGGGAAATAGAAAGTAGGCCAGTTTGGCAGGTCATAGAGAGTATGTGAAGAGAAATAATGTGGAACTAATTTGGAAGGATGGATTGAATCAGATTGTGAATGGGAGCCATTGAAGCTTCTTAAGCATTAGAGTGACATGGCCAGACCTCTGCTTTCAGAAGATCACGTTAGGGGGCAGCTAGGTGGCGCAGTGGATAGAGCTCTGGCCTTGGAGTCAGGAGGACCTGAGTTCAAATCCTTTCTCAGACACATGACACTTATTAGCCGTGTGACCCTGGCCAAGTCACTTAACCCCAATTGCCTCACCAAAAAGCAAAAAGTAAAATAAAATAAAAAAGAGGATCATGTTAGCAGATATGTGGAGGATGATTTGAAGGGGTGAGACACTCGAGTCAGGGAGACCAATTTGGAGGTTATTACTATGCAGTAGTCTAGTCAGGAGGCGATGATGAGTCCATTGAGGATGTAGAGTGTAAGTAGAGAGCAGGATGAGATGGGACCACATGTCATGGAGGTGGGATTGACACAGTTTGACAGTTGACTGGGTATTGGTTGGGGAGCCAAGGGGAAGGTAGAGGATAACTTCAGAGTTATCTGGCTGGTGGTGGCTAGATGAATGAAATAGGGAAGCTAGTCATGGGGTAGGATTTGGGTAGAAAGATAGTAAGTTCTCTTTGGAACATGTTGAGCATAGAAAGTGTTTTGCCAACTTCAAAGTTTATAAAATAGGAGTTATTATGATCGTCCTAATTTGGACTATAATTATACCATAAGCCAGGTACTGCCACCGTGCTATACCAAGCCAAATACTGGAAGTGAGGACAGCTAGTGGAGGCTCATTTCCCCAGTGACAGCCAAGATGCTGTTTCTCAGCTGCTGTTTCTTTCTTTCTTTCTTTTTTTTTTGGTGAGGCAATTGGGGTTAAGTGACTTGCCCAGGCTCACACAGCAAGTAAGTATCAAGTGTCTGAAGTCAGATTTGAACTCAGGTCCTCCTGACTCCCAGGCCAGAGCTCTATCTACTGTACCACCTAGCTGCCCCTCAGCTGCTGTTTCTTCTACCCCCACAGAATAGTAGGATATCTGGGAATGAAAAAAGAAACACCCACCTGGCAATGAGGGCTCCAGCATTTGGAAGAATTGAGTTAATTTCTTTTTCGGTGTTTGCTTAACTGTGGGCCAATCACTGTCTCTTTCTTTAAAAAGGAGATACCTCACAGGTATGTCTGTAGATTGTTGAGATAAATGATGTCTGCAAAGCCCTCTGAGTTCCTCAGATCAAAGGAATGGTCGAGATAGAATGGAATTGTGACTAATATATCATTGGTGCTCTTGTCTTTTTACAGGTATTCAAGAGAAGGTATTTTTACTTAACTCACCTTCCTGATGGTTCATATATTCTTAATTCCTATAAAGATGAGAAGAATTCAAAGGAATCTAAAGGTTGCATCTACCTGGATGCCTGCATTGATGTTGTTCAGGTAGGCATGGGATCATGGGGAATCTCAACTGCATAGGAGCCAAAAGAACACAATTCCATTTGAGCTCCATTAAGCTGTGTGACCTCAGGCACTTACTCCTCTGGGCCTTACCAACCTTTTCTATAAACTAGGATTTGATGAGATGATCTCTAAGGTCCTGACGTAGTCACAGTTGACATAAAAGAGGGGTTGGCCTCCTTCCAGGGTCTGATTTTCAAGTTTGTAAAAATGAATTTGAACAGAATTATTTGGATGAGACAGACCTTTTCCATTTAACACATTATAGACATCATAGATTCAGAGCCAAGAATGGGACCTCCAAGGTGATCTAGTCCGAGCGTTTCATCTTATAGATGAGGAAACTGAGGCCCACAGAGTGGCAATGAGTTGCCCAAGGTCATACAGCTGATATTCAAAGGCAATACAATGAAACTGTCTCCTGATCTCAGGTGATCTCAGTGTTCTCAGCACTGCCCCACACTGCTTCCAGATTGGAATTGGGCCACATTTAGGTTTGTTGTTCACCATTGTCCGAGAAAAGGCTAAATTTTGCACAAGCAAAAACTTTAATAGCAGGGAAAGGGTAAGGCAGCATTTGTTTATTGTGGAGCAGCTGCTCCCCCCTGCTCTACAATGGGAGACTGTCCAAGAAGTGAAGTGTCTTCTTCTATTTCAACAGTATTTATTGAGCACTTCCTCCATGCTCATCACCGTGCTAGGTGCTGGGTGCTGGGTGACAGATGCTGGGTTCGTTCAGTCATTCATTGTTTGTCCTTCATTTTCAAAGAGGACCATGACATCAGGAAGGTGATGCCATGACTTACAAGTGAATTGTGCTGGGGGCGAGGTGCTGAAGGAAGTGACGAGTGAATGTAAGAGTGTGGTCTTTGTCCTTTAGGAATGTACATTCTAGTCAGGAGATGTGTGCATTGAGCAAGGACACTGAAGTAACTCTGCTAACCAGATGTGCATCTTGTCTTTAACCACTAGTGTCCCAAAATGCGGCGTCACGCCTTCGAGCTCAAGATGTTAGACAAGTACAGCCATTATCTGGCAGCAGAAACTGAGCAGGACATGGAAGAGTGGCTGACGACGCTGAAAAAAGTCATTCAGCTCAATGCAGACGGCTCCGGGCAAGAGAAGAAAGAGGCCGTGGAGTCCGTGCAAGGTTGGAGTTTTTGAGTGAGCCATTCTTGCGGTCGTGCCCTTGTCTCTAAGCATGTGGGTACACATCTTTGCCTTGACCCTTTCCTTAGCCAAAGGTGGTTATGGAGGTGGAAGGATTAAAACAGAAATATAAGGCAGTGCTCCATGGATTCTGACATGGGAAATATAAGCGGCCTTGCAGTTGGACACTTTGGATAGGAAATTCATGGCAGGTTTTTAAAAGTCCAAGTTTTCCATTGCTCCTATAATCAGAAATCTTAGCAAGAGATCTGGGCATGGGGAAGGAGAGCTGGTTGGGCGCTTTTTCTGAGTTGATTAGTAAGACATGATCTGCATGGTTTGGAACATCTGCTTTTAATGAATTTACAGAAGATGAAACGAGCAGCCAAGGAAAATCGGAAAACATCATGGAAAGCTTGGAGAGGAGTATGCACCCTGAGCTGATGAAGGTAGAGCTTTTTTTAATGGTGGTTGAAATTAAACAGAGAGAATGAAGGAGAAACTCTACCAGTATCAGTGATGTCTCCCACTGAGTGGCACTGTTCCCAGTTTACTTGGGGGTCTCTGTCCCCCAGTCATTTTACTTATGGTGTTTACAAAGAGCCCCTAATAAGCACTGAAGCCCTTTGGGAAGGAACCCTTTGAATTTGGAAGGTATTCTACAGCACTTCCTTTCCATCATGTAATTGGATTGACATCTGATCGGTGATTTCTTAGAAATACATTTTTTTGGTATACTACAAATATATGTGCGTGCGCGCATGCACGTGTGTGTGTGTGTATGTGTGTGTATGTGTATGTGTGTATGAATGAGTCATGTCACCGAGTGTCAAATTTGGGTAGTGGACCACACTCTGTAAATATTTAAATTATGTATGTATGTGTGTATATGACAATAATACATGTACACACACATATATAACAGCTAGGTGGTGAAGTGGATAGAGTGCCAGGCTTGGAGACAGGAAGACTCATCTTCCTGAGTTCAAATCTGGCCTCAGATACTTCCTAGCTGTGTGACCCTGGGCAAGTCACTTCACCCTGTCTGCCTCAGTTTCTTCATCTATAAAAAAAATGAGCTGGAGAAGGAAATGGCAAACTGCTCAAGTATCTCTGCCAAGAAAACCCAAAATGGGGTCACGTGACTGAAAAGGACTGAGCAAAACGAAAATTTGTTCTAAAACTATCTCTTCCAATCTTCTCCTTACATCCCAGAAAGCCACTGAGGCACAGACTGTCAGCGGGATGGGAGCATAACTGAACAGGAATCTCCTCTATGACGTACCTGACAAGCGGGAATCTAGCCTCCTGGGTTAGGGAATCCATTACTTTCCAAAGCTAGGCACTGGGATACAGAAGCAGCCAGCTGGGTCACTCTCTTCTACTGACTTGCTGTGTGACCTTGGGCTAGTCTCTTCCCTTCCCTTGGCCTTGGTTTCCCTGTCTTTAAAAATTGAAGTGTTTGGGGGCAGCCAGGTGGCGCTGCAGTGGATAGAGCACTGGCCCTGAAGTCAAGAGGACCTGAGTTCAAATCTGGCCTCAGACACATAACACTCACTAGCTGTGTGACCCTGGGCAAGTCACTTAACCCCAATTGCCTATGAAAAATTTTTTTTAAAAATTGAAGTGTTTGGACTGAACTGTCAGGTCTTTATTCCATGGTCCCTGATGTAACATAAGATCTGGTGAATAACGCTTTATTCAGCTAATCTCTATCTCTAGGGATTCTCCAATGTCTCCTCTCAATCTTTACCTTTCCAAACTGGAGAATCTTAGTTTCCTGAGTCTGCCTTGCCTCTCCTCGGGCCCATGTTAGTCGTCCTTCTCTGGCTTTCTCCAGGTTTGAAGGTGTGGGGACTAGGGCCGCATGGCAGGTACAGGGAGTGGGGGGAGGCCCCAGTGAGAGGGGTTATTAATTGATGCAGCTGTTGCTTGGTTGAGCCAGTGTCCCATCAGGAAAGCTTTTTTTGCCTTTTTGGAGTTGTCAGCACTTATAGTTGGGTGGTTGCTGGATTTTTTTGGTAAACTATCTACTTGCAAACTAACTACTTGCAAACTTGAAAACTTGAAGAAAAATAAAAAGACATTTGATCCATTTTTCAAACTTGATCTCCTTTTTCATTTTTAGTATGGAAGAGAAACTGAACAGCTGAACAAGCTTAGCAGAGGAGATGGGAGACAGAACCTCTTTTCCTTTGATGCTGACGTGCAGGTGATGCTCTCGTTGCAGGACCCTCATTGGGAGATCACAGACCCTGCCTTCATGGAGCTTACAGTCCAGATAACTATAAAATATACTACTAGATACTGAGTGCATTAATGCACTTAACAAAGTGTCATAGATGAGACCCAAAGGGGAGGTTGTTATTGAGAAGGGGATCAGGGGAGCCTTCATGGAGGAGGTGGTGCTTGAGGTGGTGTTTAAAGGCTGGCTAAGATTTCATCAGGCAAAAGAGGGGCAGTGAGAATATTTTGGGCACGTGGAAGAAACATCACGAGAAAAGGCAAAAAGATGGAAAAGCAACAGATATATTTGGGAGCAGAAAGCAGCCTAGTTTGGCTAGGCGATAGTATGGATTCAAGAGAATAATTCTATGACATCAGCCTGAGAAGGCGGGGTGATGCCAGATTCTGGATGGCCTTAAATGCCAGGCAAAAGAATTTGGATGTGATTTGGTAGGCAATAGGAAGGCTCTGATGATTCAGGAGCACAAGAGTACGGTGCTCATGTTTTTATTCTACTGTTCTAGCAGGGGTGTGGAGGGCGGACTGGAGGTGGGGGAGAGAGTGGAGGCTTTTGCCAAGAGTCAGTGCCGGCAGGTGTAAAAGCCTGCACCACAGGGGTGGCAGAAGGAAGATCTGTGAAATGTTGGCTACTGATTTGGCACCCCAAAGGTTACTGATTCCTCTTTGTGTTTGGTTCATTTTGAATAGATGGGTGACAACAAACTCTTCTTCCAGTATGAATAGTTCTGAGTTGAATGTATTTTTCATGTTCACTCTCTCTTTCCCCCAGCACCTTGAAGATAAGTTGGAAAAAGAGTTTTTTTTTCCATAGGAAGTAGTATAAACATCTCCCTTTAGCAAAGATGCATCATGAAAAGTGAGGAGCCTTTGAGGAGTACTAGTTGGTTGGTTGCCCTTTTCCTTCCTCTAGAGCCGCTAAGAGACAACAGGTCTGGGTTCCCAAATGCCGTCCATTCTAAATCTTATGTGCCAAACATATAGGAGCTTTGTCTTTTTCCCTAGATAATTGGGCCTTAATTGGACCCGTGAGGCTTGTTCCTGCCGCACAAAGGAACCAACTAAATGTGGTTGAAATCAAAGCCAGTCAATCTTTCTTTTTTAAAATTTGTGGTGTAGCATGTTTGCGGTCATGGAACTGAGCTGGTTTTATGTGGGAATTGCGTATCAATGAGCTACTGTGAAGAAAGATGCCTGGTGCCTGTAGTGAGGCTCTGAGGACAAGAGATGTCAATTTTACAGTATGGAAGCAGAGGAAATAGATCCCAAGTATCCTTTCCCTGAGGGCTGCCTCAGAGCTTTACCCTTTTTTTTTTAGTTCCCAGCTTGATGTGTCAATACAATTGCCTCAGATGCTCTCTCTTGGGTGATTGAACTGGTAGGGAAGGATCTGATGATGCTGCTTCGTATGGGATCGCTGGCCTCCAGACGGGCAGCCATTTGGGTGGTTTCATGCCACATCTCTTCCCGTTGCACCGTTTGAGCGCACAGGTAGCAACAGATCACTCGGCAGCTGTTAGGACAGGCCTCTTTAGCCAGACTTTCTCGTGCAGCTGTGCAGAATTGTTCATGGATAGTCATGTTCATTTTTATATTTGTCTGTTGTAGGTAAACCGATCTAATATATAAGGCCCCTTTCAGGAGGATTTGGTCTTTTTTAATAGGCTAGGTCAACACTACTGCAATTAGTTGAGACATTATAAGTAAAGAAACCTACTGGGATTTAAATTACCTCAATAATTTGAGGAAAGCATTTTGTTTACTCTTCTGATATCTATGTTGGTAGTTTCTTCTTCTCATATTCATGAGACTCCATGCAACTGAGTGGTGCAGTGGATAGAGCATTGGACCTTGGAGTCAGGAAAACCTCAGTTTAAATTCTCCTTCTGACGCTTAATAGTTTTTTGACTCTGAGCAACTCATTTAATTTCTCTGTGCCTCTGCTTTCTTATCTGTGAAATGGAGATAATAATAGCATCTACCTCCCAGGGCTGTTGTAAGGATCAAATGGTGTAGCACAGGTAAAGTATTTGCAAACCTTAAAGCACTGTGCTAACTGCTATTTTTTTTATTTTTATTATTGTTGTTGTTGTTATCCTTTGCTACAGAAAAACAGTTAAACATCCCTTTCACTTTCCAAGGGGTGGCCCTTCCCCTCATAACTAAGAAGTGTGTAGTTAAGCAAAACAGACCAGTGCACTGGCCACATACGACAATGCACCAAATAGTCATCACTCTGCTGTGAAATCGAGAAGCCTGCTTTGATGTCAGCCCACCAGATCATTTCCAGCCCAACGTCACGACGAGGAAAACTCTGGCTCTTCCCCTTATTTGTGAACAGAATGACAATAATGAGCACCTGGGTTGCTTGAGCCAAGGGAGCCAGGCCTTGGAAATTGAGGGCATGTTGTCTTCTGGGTCTCTTTGTGGAGGGCAGTGGCTTATCTGCCCAGCTTTGGCAGGGGCCAGAACCTGAGCACGTAGACTGAGGTTGGGGCCTGCTGATTGGATACCAAGACTTATAGTCACATGTCCTTTAATTTGTTGGTAATGCTGCCCATGTGTTTTTTCTAGAGGTTGGACTTTTCCGGCATTGAACCCGACGTAAAGCCATTTGAAGAAAAGTGTAGCCGCCGTTTTATAGTGAGCTGCCATGACGTAACCTTCAACGTCCTGGGCCACGTTGGAGATGGTGCCCAGGGACCACCCACAAACGTATGTATGACTTGTCTCTTGGAAACCACCATCTTGCCATTGGTGCAGTAGTTTCAGCCAGGAAAAGCTCCTCTTGTTGGCAGCAAGTGGAAGTGCATTTTTGTCCTAGCCCTGATGTATGACCAATTGACAAACATCCTTCAGCTTGCATTCGCTTAAAAGGTATTTTAGATTCTTGTTTGTTGTTGCTTAACAATATCATTCTGAAATCAGATCACTTTGTATCATCTTCGACTGTCTGACTTAAACAAGAAAGGATTTGATTTTCACATTCTTGGGCTTCAGTGACATATAAAATTATTCCACAAGCATATTAACAGTAGGATTCTCTTAATTTACTTTTGAATGCAGCTTCAAATTGGACAAAGTCTGTCAGTTGTTCTAGAATGTCATTTTCTAGCATGCAAATGAGCCATTGTTCATTCTGAGTTGTGAAGGGTATGCAAATGAATACAAAGGGCTTCCCAGCTACAGAAATGATGAAAAGATTTTGGTGGGATTCAGAGTTTTAAAAATGAATTGTCAGTTTTAAAAATGCAAGTGTTTCCTTTAATTCCCAGGTTGAGCCTTTTTTTCTCAACCTTGCCTTGTTTGATGTGAAAAATAATTGCAAGATTTCGGCTGACTTCCACGTGGACCTTAACCCTCCATCTGTTCGGGAAATGTTATCGGGCCCATTAGCACATGTGGACAATGATGGCGCTCAAAAGGGATCTTCAGCTAAGGAGTATTTTATTCATGGGATTGAGGAATCTCAGTTACGCTATATAAAACAGGTACATGTGGTCTTTAGCCTTTACAGAGTTTAGTGAATTAAAAGTAGAAATGCACCATCAGCAATTTCAAGGATTTACAAGACTTTAAGGTCTAGGTACCCAGGGAGGCGGTGGGAGAGAAACTGAGGTGCTGAAAATGTTACCAGTCCATTCAGGGTGGCATGCAACTACTGTCATAGATACATGAGGACATCTGTATATACCTAGCTAATACATTGAAGCCACTGTGCTATGACACGTAGACAATAAGGGAAGCAGGTCATGAGAACACCTCTGGACACCCAAGGTATCTCGTGTATAGGACAGCATAGCACAGAATGGACTCAGTGTGAAGTCTAACGGAAAGTAGTTGTTTAAATCACAGACGCATGATCCTATGTTCTGTCCACTGTGCAGCAAATTGAGCTGATTTAGCAGGAGAATAGCAGCCCTTTAACTATAAAGGATCCATTTTCCATACCCTTGCTGAGGCCTGTGCCAAGAACATAGTATTCTGGAAGTGCTTAGGAATTCTCTTCTCTATATAGATTAGAGACTGTGAGGGATGAAGGGGACCAGGGTTCGTAGTCTCCCTTCCATCCCCAGTAGAGGCACGAAGCCCAAAGCAAAAAACAAAAACCCAAACCAGGAGCCACTGTATAATGAAGATGGAGAGAGAGATATTTTGATAGAGTCTGTCTGTGGTGAGTGAGACAATTTCTACCTGTTTTCACTGCCGTCTGGGGCCTTGCTCTGATTCACAGTTCCAATCCGTGTCCCCTTAATCTCCCTTGATCGCTTTCTAGGACCACCTAATTTGCCAGGCAAGTCCTTCTAGGATGTATAATGTCAATATGTTTGCATGTGTGTGCAAAGATCTGCCCTTCACACGAAAGTGAGTAGCACACTAGGTTTCCCTACAATGTTCAACAAGGCATTTCAAGTCATCAGGTACATGCTGAGTGTTTATTGTAAGGTGATATAAAGATCTGTGTGATATGGTCTCTTTCCCAGGTGGTCTTCTAACCTACCTACTGAGGTAAGCCTAAACACATGGACCTATTAAGAGAATAATGCTTAGATGGATCCTAGATCATATCAGTATGGAAGGATACTCTGTCCCTGTGTGTAGCTCCACCCATGCCTCTTCTTCCCGTGGGCTTCTTGGCCATGTTCTCTCATAGATCCTCCACAGACTATCCCTTCAATGCACAGGACAGCTTTCATCATTGCACGGGTAACAGAGCAGCATGTAGCCAGCCATCTTTTTGACATGGCTCTTGTTAGATGGCCAGCCTACCTCCTTTTCTGCTCATCTATGACCTAGGCTACTTGTGACACATTGATCTTATGCGCCTGCACTTATGCCCACCCTTTGGGTCACCTACAGATTCAATTCTTGAGATATTGTGGTCTGAGGTTCACAGCCATACATCATCACTGGGAAAATACTGAGAATAATCAAAGACAGAGTATCATCACGTGTTAAAATGTGTAATGAGAGCCGCTGAGTTTAAGAAAGCTAAAGATAAGAGTGGTGGTCTGTAGTTAAAAGGAGGATTTCATGCAGGAAGTGGGACATGAGCTAAGTCTTGAAGAATAGGAGGGCACCAAAGGTGTCTTTCAAGACCCTCTAATTTAGTTGCCTGGCTGAGGATACCTGGGAGAGATGATGTACTTCACTCAAATGGGTGCGTGTTTGCTTTCTAAGAGGTAGGCTAGACCCATTGCCTTGATGTTACAGCTGAGAAACCCATGTGGAGCAGCACTGGGCCATGGGCTTGCAATGGGACTGCTTTGTGTGGTGCTCCTTTGGAAGAGCCATCAGAGTAAGAGAGAAAATTACCTCCAGACAGAGCCTGACTGGCATCAGCTGCCCTTCTACAGGTCATCAAAGCACGTTCCTGGAACTTGGACTTGTTTATCTTGCAGAGACTAGGTCTTTGAATATTTTGTCTCTCTTATATTTTGGTGGCAGCCAAGCTTTATCAGCAGTGCAGATGCACTTTCTCAAGAGTGGCTTCATTTCTTTATCACCACAGTGCAGTAAAAGGTTTCTGTTTTTTTTTTTTTTCTCAGCTGCCATTAGTGTTAATTAAGAAGGAATGGAATTGACTCCAAGTCCCAGATACTCAGACTGGCAACTCCTTGCTCTCTCCCCCTACCCATGTCCAATCTGTTTCCAAAGTCTGTCCATTTTACCTCCATGACATGTCTCATATGTGTGCCCCTTCTGTCCTCTGACACTGCCCCCACTCTGCTATAGGTCCTCATTACCTCACACCGGGGCTATTGTAATAGCCTGCTGGTTGGTCTTCCTGCCTCAGATGTCTCTCCTCTGCAGTCCATCTTACACTCAGCTGTCAGAGTGATCTTCCTATGTAACCCCTCTCCACAGTACGCTCCAGTGGTTTCCTTTCACCTCCAGGGTCAAATAGAAAAATCTTATGTTTGGCAGTCAGAACCCTTCATAACCTCCCCTACCCCCACCTTTCCAATCTTCTGACACATTCACACCCCCCCCCACCCCCCAGCCCCATGTATTCTTTGATGTAGTGACACTGGCGTCCTTGCTGTTTCTCAAACATTTCCTGGCTGTCCCCATGTCTGGAATGTTCTCCCTCCTCATCTCAACCTCTTGGCATCCTGGGTTTCCTTTAAATCCTAACTAATATCCCCCCTCTGCAGGAAGCCTTTTCCAGTCTCCCTGAATTCACGGGCCTTCCCTCTGTTGGTTAGTTCCTGTTTCTCCTGTCTGTATCTTGTTTGCACATAGTTGTATGTTATTGTCTCCTCCACTAGACTGAGCCCCTTGAGGGCAGGGACTGTCTTTTACCTTTCTTTGTGTCTCTAGTTCTTAGCACTGTGCTTGGTACATAGTAGGTACTTAATAAATGTTTACTGATTGACTGCAATAATTTTATTTTTCTCTTTCAGGGAATTTTCTCAGTGACAAATCCCCATGTTGAAATTTATCTTGTTGTTCGGGTAGAGAAGGTGTTACAGGGAAGCATTGCACATTGTATCGAGCCCTACATCAAGACCTCTGATCCAGTTAAGGTACTGGGAAGGCGAAAATGGGAAAATGTCAGATTCGGGGGGTGGGGGGGATTTTTACATCTTATTGAGTTTTTAAACAATATTTCCAGTCAATTTCCAATTAAAAAAAACCTTTCTCTTTGAGTGTTCTCTCTATTCTGTTAGCACAGATAAAACACATATAACAGCTGGAAGGGGTCATTTGTTCCGTTCAGTTTCTGTCCTGATTGGAAGCTCCCATTACTTTCTGTGTGTATGTCGGAAACGAGAGAGGCCTTAGCCTTTCCAGATTCATTAACATGTACTGTTGCTCTGCTCCAAACAGCCAGCTCCAGTTACCTCGTAGACTTAGAGAGTATCAAGTTCCAGAGGGTCCCTTAGAGAACGCTTACCCAAGGGAGGCCCAGAGGCACCTAGCTGGCTGATAAGGAGTAGAACTGGAACTCGGATCTTTTGACTGCATTCTCATGCTCTCCTTTGCTCTCGTGTTGGCATGAGGCATTTTGTTGCTGATTCTTAGTATCATAAAGACTTGGAAGCGACATCAGAGCCTGTCTAGTCTAGCCCCCTCATTTCATAAATGAAGAAACTGAGGGCCAGAGGTCATGCCTTGCCCAAGGCCGTCTCAATATTAAGTAGCAGAGCAGAGTTCAGACCAGGTCCTCAGAATGCGGATTCACTGCTCTTCCCACATGTTAATTAATTTACTTCTTCAAAGAGTTTATTAATTGGAAGGTGCTATGAAGGAAAGGTCTGGAAAATATGAAAGAAAGCTCCCATCATATTGAAATGGGCCAGATTCCCACATTGTTCCTAGGAACAGGAGGCGGACAAATGCCCCTCACTCTTCCTTTGTTTCCCCTCTCTCGCCTTTGTTACCTTGTAGGCATGGTAATTCCTTGACACTTATTGCTGCAAGGCTCATTATCTTGGTAATTGGTCATGGGCCTCTTTCTTTGAGGTCAAGTGTACCCTGTGCAGGCCACTCCAGTCGGATTAATTAGCATTTTTCAAAAAGAAACAAGCTCAAGCCAGCTGAAAATACGGCTGGGAAGGTCTTTCAGAATCCGATCCTGGCGGATCCCTTTGCTTTTGATGTGTTTCTGAAGGAAATGTAGAAACAGTGGGCTCCTTTTGACAGCTTCACTGGGGATGATGTAGAGAGAGGCTTGTTCTGAGTCATATGGCGGCCGAACTGAATGGGCATCACCATTATGCTGATTCCATGTCTTCCTTTAGACTGCCCAGAAGGTGCATAAGGCGGCCAGGCAAGTGTGCAGCAGGCTTGGACGGTACCGGATGCCTTTCGCTTGGGCTGCCAGGTCTGTACATGTTGAATTCTTATCCTTTTGGTCTTTATGCTGAGATCCTGTGCAATCCACGAAGTATGTACAACCATGGGCCTGATGGATATAAAAATTAAAGGGGAAATAGATTGCCTTCCAGGAGTTTCCATTCTTCTGGGAGTAGCGGTGCGGTGACAAGATGTTTTGTTTGTTGAGTTGAATTGAGTTCATACTGAGATGTACAGCAGAACAGTTTTCTTATTTTCAATAAACAGGAAATGTGGAGTATAAGAGTTCTTTTTCTTGTAATTTGTTGTCTCCCTAGCACCCTCTAATTCTTTATTTGGGAAATTTTCCCATTTTCACTCAAGGTTGGAGTAGAAGGGAATAAGCATTTCTATAGGGCCTACTATGTGACAGGCACCGTGTTACAAATTTCATTTGATCCTCACAACAACCGTGGGAGGTAGGTGCTATTATTATTCCCATCTTACAGTTGAGGAAACTAAGGCAGATGGACATTAAGTGACTTGCCCAGAGTCACACACCTAGGAAGTGACTGAGGTGAGATGTGAACTCTGTTCTTTCTGACTCTAGTGCTGGGTGCACTGTGGTGCCCCCCTGGCTACTTTTTTTTTGTTTGGATCTTCACATTGATGTAAAGACCTCCTTCCACTGATCCAGAATGTCAATTTGTCTGTAATATATATTCTTGAAATGTTGCCTGGGGTACTGAAATGTTAAATGACTTGCCCAGAGTCATATAGGCAAACAGTATGTATAGAGGTAAGACTCAAACCTAGGTCTTTCTAACTTTAAGGCTAGCCCTCTGTCCTGATATATCCCACTGCCTCTTAATCTTAGGACATTTCAGTGGCATCTTTCCTACTTGCATGTTTGAAGACATAGTCCAGCAAGCATTTATTGAGCACCTACTACATGCAAAGCACTGTGTTAGGTATACAAAGACAAAATGAAAAACACCTCCTCTTTTCAAGGAACTTCCATTCTACTAGGCAGCTAGGTGGCACAGAGTAAATTCATAGAGGTGAAGAGAGTGCTGGGCGTAGAGTGAATAAGATCTGAGTTCAAATCCTGCCTTAGGCACTTACTAACTCTTGGGCAAGTCACTTAATCCGTTTGCCTCAGTTTCCTTATCTGTTAAATGGGGCTAATAATTGTACCTATCTCACAGAGTAGTTGTGAAGATCAAATGAGATGATAAAGCACTTGCAAACTTTTAAAGTGGTATATAAATGATTGGTGTTATGATCACTGTTATTTTTTATTAATTTATTTTGATTTATCAACCATCACTTCCATAAGCTTTTGAGTTTTAAATTTTTCTCCCCCTCCCCTCCCACCTCCCTCCCCAAGACAGCACACAATCTGATACAGGCTATATATATACATTCCTATTAAACATATTTTCACATTAGTCATGTTGTAAGGAAGAATTAGAACCAACAGGAAGAACCACAAGAAAGAGGAAACAAAACCAAACAGAAGAAAATGTAAATGCTTCTATCTGCATTCAAACTCCATAGTTCTTTCTCTGGATGTGGAGAGCATTTTCCATCATGAGGCCTTTGAAGATGTCTTAGATCCTTACATTGCTGAGAAGAGCTAAGTCTATCAAGTTCGTCATCACACAATGTGGCTGTTACCGTTTATAAGGTTCTCCTGGTTCTGCTCACCTAACAGCATCAGTTCATACAAGTCTTTCCAGGTTTTTCTGAAGTCTGCCTGCTCATCATTTCTTATAGCACAATAGTATTCTATTACATTCATATGTTCAGCCATTCCCCAATGGATGGGCATCCCCTCAGTTTCCAATTCTTTGCCACCACAGAAAGAGCTGCTATAAATATTTTTGTACATGTGGATCCTTTTTCCATTTTTATGATCTCTTTGGGATATAGCCCTAGAAGTGCTATTGCTGGGTCAAAGGGTACGCACAGTTTTATAGCCCTTTGGGCATAGTTATGATCATTGCTATTTACCACATGCAGACAGATAGGTTATACACATGCTCACTGGATGAGGAGGAAGAGGGATAGAGAACATTGACAGTCAAGGGGATGAGAAAAGGCTTTCCATACGAGGTGGTCTGTGAGCTGAGTCTGAAAGGAAGCCAGGGAAGAGAAAAAGTCTCTGAGTCAGAAAATGAATGAATTCTAGTCATTATGCCTTGCTGGTATTATTGTCCTTATAGGTAGCTGGCTGGATTCTGGGAGTATTTTTTATAGAAACATTCTAGAAACTGTGCTCGTTTGATCTGTATGCCTAATTAAGGGATGGTGTCATGGCTTTAGGAAGGAATGCTGGGTGCATAGGCCACATGTGGCTTAGGCAATTGATTTTATTGAAAGGCTCTGACAAATTAAGGCTTATGTGTGTTTCTTAGCTCCTTGCAGAGTATGGGGCCTAGCCCAGCTCCCAGCTTGCCCAGTGGTATAAGCTGTCCAGGGCAGCTAGATGGCACAGTGGATAGAGCCACTGGGCCTGAAGTCAGGAAGACTCATCTTCCTGAGTTCCAATCTGGCCTCAGACACATCCTAGCTGTGTGACCCTAGGCAAGTCACTTAACCTTGTTTGCCTCAGTTTCCTCATCTGTAAAATGAGCTGGAGAAGGAAATGGCAAACCACTCCAGTGTCTCTGCCAAGAAAACCCCCAAATGGGGTCACGAATAGTCGAACATGACTGAAAAACAACTGAACAACAACAAATAGGCTGTCCAGTTCCCTGATTCATCAGGGGAAAGGGCAGCATGTTGTGAATAATTCAATTAATTCTGTCAAGGCTAGGGTTCTGGTTACAGCACAGATTGGAGGAAAAGCTGACTAAATGAGCTTTCTTTCCTTTCATTACTTAAACTCAGCTCTTTCACTGGAGGATCTCAAAATGTAGAGCACATTAGTTGATGAAAAGTCTCATTGTTTTCTTTTTTCAGATTGAAAAAAGTAAAACCCAGGGAGGTAAGTGGTAGAGGGTGACTTAGGTTGGTACCCTGTAGCCATTATAGGGGTCAAGGTTGTGCCCGGAAGTGGGAGCTATGTTGTATGTACAGTGCTCTCACAAAAAGTTCCTGACCGCAGATACACAAACTTGACTTCTAATTCCTCCATATTGGACAGGACGGCAAAACATTTGTAAAGCTTTTCAAGCTAAAACCAAATTTTTATTCTCAGTTTTATTCTCATGGCCCCATTCTCCTCTTCCCCTTCCTCCCCCACCCCAGTCACTCCTTACTTTGTCATGGGGCATGCAATTTCTTTTTTGCCATTTATATGTACTGCATCTTCCCACGAGTTGCTTTGGTTATCAAGAGCAGCTGGAATCCTTGCTGAAGGATTGGTTCAAACCTGAAGGAAGTGTGACTGGACGTATTGACTGAAAATCAAAGGAAGCTCCCTTAAAGGCATTTGCAGTAGTTAAGTTCTGACCAAGCCTTCAAAGGTAGCTGGGTAGCACAGTGGATAGCATGTTAAGACTTTGGAGACAGGAGGATCTGAGTTTCAAACCCTACCTCAGACATTTACTAATTGTGTGACCCTGGCCAGGTCACATAATCTGTTTGCCTCAGTTTCCCCATATGTAAAATGGGGATAATAATAGAACCTCCCTCATAGAGTTGTTTTGAGGATAAAATGAGATAACATGTGAAGTGCTTTGCAAACTTTAAAGTGCTAGATAAATGCTAGCTATTATTATTGTTGTTGTTATCATCATCATCATCATCATCATCATCATTCAAAGGCTTTCCCACTAGAAACTTTATATTCTCAGCCACAGTGGCACTAGAGACAATTTATCAGAGTATTCCTCAGATACTCAATATGTAAGGAATCCTTGAAGATTGACATTAGAGAAATAGTTCTTAATTTCAGAACGCTTATAAATTTTTTAGGAAACTGAAAAACTCTTTTGTTGTTCTTTAAGGCCAGTTTTCAAAGATACTCAAGGTTCTCTGGATCTAGAGGGGAGATTTTCTCCTTTCTATAAACAAGACAGCAGCAAGCTCTCTAGTGAAGATATTCTCAAGTTGCTTTCTGAATACAAGAAGTAAGTGGGCTAGCTTACTAAAGCATATGCATTTTAATTTTATTTAAAAAGAAGTTTGAGTAATATTTGGAGAATATTAGACATCCTTGTCAAGATTGACAATAATATTGCTAATATGTTCCAAATTCACAACTTAAAGACTAACATGTTTCCTTTATACCCAGGCCAGAGAAGACCAAGTTACAGATCATTCCTGGCCAATTAAACATTGTAATTGAATGTGTACCACCAGATTTCTCAAGTAAGAACTCTCATATGTAATATTAAAACTAACTTTTTTACCTTATAGTACATCATGGTCGCCATATTCTCTTCATTGTGCAATATAAAACAATAGTGGCTGTTACAAAACGACCATTTGGTCTTGGGCAAGTCTGTTCCCTTTCTGGCCTAGTCTTCTCCTGTTTAAAATGAGAGGGTTGGGCTAGATCCCCAAGGTCCCTAGCAGTTTTAATGTTCTATGTTCTAGCACAGTTGAATTAATTGGATCTTCATTGAATAAGTAAAGTCTAAAGGTTGTGTGATAAAATGGTCAGGTTGTTCTTGCCCAAGGGGAAGGCTTCCTCAGCTATATTTTGTTGCCACCTCTAGATGGATGGAAAAGGGGAGAGAGTCAATTCTCCAACGCTCATCTTCATTACTACTTTCCAGCTACATATTCACTCTCTTCAGCCTCCATCCCACAGCTCAAAGAATTTTTTCTGTGGTGTAATGGTTGCTTCTTTTTATAACTTGTATTACTAAACTTTGCTGTAGCTCTGTGGAATCCCTTTTCTGGATTAGACATTTTATTATTGGTTGCACATCTTAAGAATGACATTTCAGAAGTTTTCCATTGTCTCACAGGTGAAAAATTACACTTGGACCCAATTACGTTTTTGAGTTACTTGCCATGAGTTCATTGGCAATGGAAATCTACCCTTATTCTGCTGCTGCCAGTAAAAAAAAATGCGATGAAAGCTAAATCTCAACCACAAGAAAAAAAAAGAGTAGATTTCTTCACACAGTTGAATGTTGAAATGGCAATCTGTGTTGTATTCAATTACCCTCCACAGTCAGTGTTGAGAATAGAGAGTGACCAGGCCTAGACCAGCATTACACTCACTTCTCTTGACCTCTGATGTTTCTGTAGTAGTCTCTTTCCTTTTTGAATTTTCAGGAAGTCACTTAGAATTCAGCCTTTTGAGCAGTTATTTGGAGATCATTTGGAGATCAGTTATTTGTAGGTCATTTGCTTAGGAAATGCCAGATTGTTTGAATGTGGGCTGCAGCTGCATTGTGTGTGGCCCAGCTTACCTGTTTTCACTTTTAGATTGCGTCACTGCTTCCTATGTGCCCGTGAAGCCTTTTGTGAAGAATTCTCAGAATATTGCTGTGGAAGTTGAAGAGTTTGTTCCTGAAGTGGCAAAATATTGTTATCCTTTTACAGTTTACAAAAACCACCTGTATGTGTATCCTCTGCACTTAAAGTATGATAGCCAGAAGACATTTGCGAAAGTGAGTAATCATTTAGCCTCATTTTCAAATGTAGAATTTCTATTTAAACCCTCAGGCATGTGGCTTCTTTCTGAATCATGAATAATATTTCTGAATAATGCCTTCTTTCTTAGGCAAGGAACATTGCTGTCTGTGTGGAATTCCGGGATTCAGATGAAAGTGATGCTAGTGCTCTGAAGGTGCGTTCCTTTCTGTTAGCAATGGGGCCTTTACTCTCCAGGAGGTCAGTAGCAAGCATTCATTCACTGGCCTTATAAAGCAAAGGGAGGATTGTGCAGAGAAAGACGTGTAAAGATATATGAGTTCTCCTTTGACTTGTTAGCCTTGTGGGAGAATTCCGTGATGATAATCAAGGACCTAACAGCTTGGGCAAGATTCTCATGTCTACAGCTCTCTTGATTTGCCTCATTCCGCTTTTGCATTGCTATTTATGCCCAGGTCCAAGGTCATATTGTCTTTTGACCAGCCAGAGTTTATAATCGTATCATCATGGGACTAGCCAAGCTCCTTTTTGCTTGTAACCTGAACAGGCTCAGAGCGGGCAAAAGCCGAGTGTGCCTGCCTCGATCCATGGTGTGTCTGCCTCTTGAGCCTCGCCCATTGGTGCCTTTTAATTCTTGGATCATTGTTCCCTCCAAAGCCAAGGCAGAGCATTGTCAGATATGTCCCCCGCCTGGGGCTGCTGTCACTGTGAGGCTTCGCTTTGGGGACCTTTCTGTCACAGGACTGAAAAGGCATGCTAGAGGGCATCCAGCCCATTGAACGCGATTAGCCCAGCCTCCCTAAACCAGACTTTGTTTCAGATGCCTAGAGGTCAACAGAGTCTCTGGTGTCACTCAGGGTCTCCTTTTCATGCTGAGCAGCCCTTACCTTTAGGAAAAAAGTTCTTTTTATCTAGAGACCTACATTTCAGGCAAAATTAGGTAGTTTGAATTAAGCCCTTTTTGTCTGTTTGTACTTTTAGTGGCAATAAAATGCAATAGGAAGCATCATGGTACAATGGAAAAAATATTGGCTTTGGAGTCAGAGGGCCTGGGTTCAAATCTGCAAGGTCACTGCCTGTGTGACCTTGGGCAAATCACTTGCCCTCTCAGGGAGTCTTAGACCAGGTGGACTCTGAAGTTCTAAATCTGTGTTGCTATGATTGGCTCCCGTCCTGAGGTTACCCTTAGACGTTGAGTCTGTTTGTGGCAGCACAGAAGGTCACAAACGTATGTGTAGCGGGTCACTTCTTAATGGGCAAAGAGGTTCACCACGAAGTAAAGAAGTAAGTCAGACAAGGATGAGGTTGGGCAGGGGGGGAATATCCAGAAACAACTGCCATCTGTGAAATCCTGGGCAATCAATTTAATTAGACTTTTGGAAAGTGAGGCAAACTACTAGAAAAACAGCCCTGTGTTAGGCCTAGGAAGATAAAAGACTCATACAGAGCTAGAGAAATAGAAAGCCAGCCCTTTATGGTAAATGACTTGCAAGGAAGGAGAAATTATGCCCCTGGCCTGGATGTTTGGGTGAGAGCTCCTCTGGGCCCAGACTGTCGGACTATCTGTTTCTTTGGCCGAGCCATTTCGTTGACTAAGCCGCAAGAATACTTGCCTAATATTCAGAATGTTTTCCCACTAGCTGCTAAGAAGTAGCTAGCATCCGCTTGTGACCAGGTTCCGAATTCTTTTCAGTGGATAGCTTAGGCCTGTCCTCCCTTAGTTAGCCAGTTTTGCCAGATCTTTGGAGCATGGTTATCTGGACAGAGTCTCCCTTTCTTGGCCGATTGGGGTGTTTGATGTTTTACTTTGTCCCTGTGTCCCCACACCCCTTCATCACATGCAGCCTCAGACAGGACAATATGGGATTAGGCCAGTGAATGTGTTTCTTTCTTTTGCAGTGTATTTATGGCAAACCTGCTGGGCCTGTTTTTGTCACAAATGCTTTTGCTATCGTCTCCCACCACAACCAAAATCCAGAGTTCTATGATGAGGTAAGAAAGTCTTCCTCCAACAGGTAGGCTGTACACAGATGTGAAGGTGTTTGTTGTCTATGCGAATCAACGTGGTGCAGGCCAATGCTCAAGTTGAGGCTGATCTCCAGCCCTATGGCAGAAGAGTAACTAGTGGAAGTGATTTCGCCACTAGGAGGCAGCATCATCTGTGACTGGATAACTGGGTGCCCTTGAGCAAGCCTCTCCCTTGCTTGGCCTTGATTTCTTTAGGTGTAAAAGAAGAGGAGGTTGGACAAGGTACTCTTTAAGGTCCCATCCAACTTTAATGCTCCATGGTTCAAGGCTGCCAAATCCCCTTCCATTTAAAAGTCATTCGTACCACCGAGTTACATTTGGAAGGAGGTATATTAGCACTCTTAAAGCTGTTAGCATTCATTCCATTGCTGCAGCGTTTTATCATATTAAAAAAGGGAGACTCTGCAGCCCCCTCCCAGCATACATCTTCCTTTCTGAGTATCCACTTCACCTTCCATCTGTCTCTGTCTCCCTCCTATATGTTTCCATCACTGTGCCTACCTTCCTTTCATGTCTCCATTTCTGTCACTGAATGGTGGTGTTTTTGTCGTATTCTTTGTCTATTTCTTGGTGTGCATGCTTCATTCCCTTCCAGACTGTTGTATATCTGTCTTCTCTATGCTCAGGATCTCCCCCTCCCTTCCTCTCAGAATCTCTGAATTCCATGCCTTTGTATGCTTGGCTCTTGTGTTCCTATCTGCCCTCCTGGGTCTCTGTTGCCAGCTTTGTCTGTGATCACTCCACAGCTGGGCAGCTTCCTCCAAACCCATCCATCCCATCCCTGTGTGCTGCAACCCAGTCCCAGGCCATGATGCCTTCTTGACCTCTCAGACCATGATCCCAGGCTCCTGGAAGGGGATATGCAAGCACCCCCTACCATTGTCACAGGACGGTAACCTGTGCCTATCTCTACATGTAGACAGCCCATCTGTTTAACAGACCAGTGGATTAAATGTTGCAACAAAATGGGCCTAAAGAGGAAATGAGTTATACCCAAAGTTTGCTTTGGTAGTTTGTAAGCCAAGAGTTCAAACACCTCTTTAGGAGGTGGTACTCTACCACCTCCCCCCAACCAAAATATAAGCTGGGGACCAAAGAGAACAGAATTCTGCATTTCAGCCTTGTGCTCTGTGCCCATATAAGTGAGAGGAGAGAGTGGGCCACCTAGCTGTATAACCGAGCCTTTCCATTACCTAATAACTATTTATCACAAATTGATCATGTAGTAATTAGTATTCATAATATAATAAACTTAGAGCTAGAAGGGACCTTGTAGGTTCCTGAATCCCAGCTTTCATTTCACAGAGAGGGAAACTGAGAGAGGTATCCAGAGAAGTCATGTGCCCTGCTCGTGGTTCCATAGCTACTGTATGTCACAGGCAGGACCTACAGCCAGGCCCAATACCCATTTGCTCCCCTGCACTGTTCTGGAGGAATGTTGTATTTAAGATGGCAGGAACAGGGAGGGGGGAGAGGGAGAAAGAAAGACAGAGGCAGAGAGAGCTAGTGATAGAGAGAGATAATAATAGAGACAGAGACAGAAGGGAGGGAGTGGGGAGAGGGATGGGGCAGAGGGAGAGAGGAAAGAGGAAGGCAGAATAGAGGAGAAGAGAAGAAGAGGAGAGGGGGAGGAAGGGTGAAGAGAGAGAAGAGGGAGGGATAGAGTCAGAGAGGGAGAGAGAGGAAGAGAAAGAGAATAAAACAAGCTATTATCTCAAGCTATATTACATGCTTTGTGAGGATGAGAATATTTCTCTTCTTCGCCCCTCAGAGGTATTACAAATGTGAATGAGGTCATGGTTATAAAATGCTTTGAGGTCCTTTCAGACAACCATTATGGTTATGTTCACTATATAATGGTTAATAATTAGTTTTCATCTACTTACTCAAGAGAAAAGTTCTTTTTGAAGACCTTTAAGGGCTATATTTTGTGGGTTATTAATATAGCGATGTTTGGAACTTTTTTTGTAAAGATGAAAGGATTTTTAAAAAATTTCCCATATTTATGATGATGCAGAAGACATTAGCAAAAAGTGGCCTCTTTCTCGCTTTATTGAAGTGAATTGAAGTGGATATCATTTTAACCGAATAGATTTGACAAATGTCCTTCTATCTGGCAGAGTGGGCAGGAGTGATGGGCTATATATTTTTCATCCAGTGTTTAAGGGGACTGCCAAGCTGGCATAACAGAAGTCAGGGGAGCCCGCATAGTTTGAGGGCACAGCGTTGCCAATGTGAAATAGACTGGGAAGTTGTGAAACACCCTGGGATTGCCCACCTGACCCCCTGGGCAGGGAATGCTTTTTGCCCAGTATGATAAAAGCCTAATGAAAAGAATTCAGTTATGGAATTTGATCATGGAAAAATCAAAATAAAATGCCATGTGTTATGTCTTGTGTCTTTTCAGATTAAAATTGAACTTCCCATTCACCTTCATCAGAAACATCATTTGCTTTTCACTTTTTATCACATTAGCTGTGAAATTAACACAAAGGGAACAGCCAAGAAACAGGACACTGTGGAAACTCCAAGTAAGTGTCTTCGAGGAATGTAGTACTCCTTCCTTCAATCACAAGCCAATTCTTCCGTCTCTCAGCAAAGCTCACTGGCTAGTTTCTTTTTCCTTAAGTGGGGGAGGTGTTTTCCTTTGATTAAAATGTCTATGGAACTTAAGGCTTTGAAACCCTTGCTCGTCTCCTTGGAATACGGGACAGACTAGAAAGTAATCTTCCTATGCTCCTATAAGTCTGTGTCTCAGGGAAGTGTATTTGTTGTTTCTAATCAGCCATTTTAAAACATTGAGTACTGAAGTATACAGCTAATTCATTCAATGGAGGTGGTGTGGTAACGAGAATTTTCCAGTCCTGCTCATTGTGGAACAGGGAAGTACTTCTAGTGCCAGGGGCATCTGTGGGCCTACAGGATATAAGCACTGACTGGCATTAATGAGAAGATGGAGCAGGTCTTGGAGGTGAAGCCACAATGAGTGTGTTGGTATGGTCTGACCTCAGGCTCCATCCTGAAGGCATTCCCTGAACTGGATTTGTTAGGCCTCCTAGTGGGAGAGACAACCTGGGGCAGCAGATAGAATGCCAGACTTGTCAGGGGACCAGGGTTCAAATCCTACCAGGCAGGAAGGGGCATGGCTAGGGAATAGACGGACTCTTGGACAGAGAAAGAGTAAGCCAAAAAAGCCACAGGATTTTCAGAACTACAACAGAAACTTAAAAGCACTTAAACAGATGCATGTTGTCATAATTAAGATGGTCCCTGGGGACCCTGTGGAGTGTTATTTTTTATTTTATTTTATTTTTTTTTAGTTGGGCAATGGGGATTAAGTGACTTGCCCAGGGTCACACAGCTAGTAAGCGTTATGTGTCTGAGGCCGGATTTGAACTCAGGTCCTCCTGAATCCAGGGCCGGCGCTCTATCCACTGCGCCACCTAGCTGCCCCAACCCTGTGGAGTGTTAGAGATACCTCAGCATAGAACTCGGGAGCCCATGTGCTCCAGCTTGTCCTGAGCATCCCAGAATGCATGTCTATTCTAGCTTCATTCCCAGGGACCCAGCTTGCCTCGAGAGATTTGGACAGGGGCAAGCCTGTATAAGTCTTAATGATCAAGGGATAAACCCACCAACTTAGTGGTTCTAGATCTAGTCCTTTATCTCCACGGTTTGTGCTTCCTGAGGTACTCTCAGCCTAGACCAGGAGCCAGACCAGGCCTAGACTGGACTCTTAATTCAGTCTTGTTGCCCAATTGTCTGTAGAGCTTCAAGAACTTTCTGTTGGTTCCAGTGAACATTCAAGTCAGTTCTAAGGCATGATTCTGCTTCACGCTGTCCTGGCCTCAGTAGCACATCAGACTTGAGAATCAGCTAAGGAAGAAAACCAACCCTGGACTGTGGCCCTGCCTCCTTACTGAGTTTCCGTAAAGGGCCTCTAAGCCAGCCTTTGGCTTTGAATGTCCCCTGGCATGGCCCTACTGCTCAGACTGATTCGCAGTACAAAACCAATGACTAAAGGAGACATTTTCCTTTCCTTTTCATATTTCCTGGGTTGGAAAACTTTTCTCACTTTGTCAACTCTTTGGCTTAACTACTTTGACAGAGTCTTTGCACGAATATTTGGCTCACGTTTCCAACCAGACTCCTTATAAAACAACCTAGTCTCAAAGTTCTGCTAGTACAGAGAGCTTCAGGCGTTTGGCAGGCTGGGAAAGGCATCTGGGCCATGTTGGGGAGCAAGCAATAGGACTGATTCTGTAATTAAGAATGAAGCCTCTGAAAGAAACTGTGCGGTCTCAGTAATTCATGCTGCTTCTCATGCTCCCAGCTCACACCAAAAAATGGATGGCAGACTGTGCCCCAAAGTGGACTTCCAGAAGAGCTCTCATGTGCTGAGCTGCAATCCAGTGAGGGGTTTGCCTTGTTTTTTTTTTTTTGTTTTTTTTTTTTGTTTTTTTTTTTTGTTTTTTTTTTTTCACAGCTAAGTTATAGGTCCATGAAAACCAGAGAATTTGAAGAATAGAAACATAGCTTTCCCTCAGCCTGAGGAGGACAGAAGACTCTAGCTTTCTTAGTTCAACTTTGGTGCAGTTTTCTGGGAGCTGGCCAAGGAGGTCTTGGGGGAACTCTCGAGAAAGTCGGTGGTGCATAATGAAAGCACAAGGCCAATGACCTGGCTGCATTCTGCCAGCTCACCTGCCAAGTCCCTCCTGTCCCATTACACAAAGTACGGATGCCTATTGCTTGGGAGAAATCTAGCTTTAACCCTACACCAGAGCCTTAGGCATCCATTTCCCATTTCCCTTTGCACAGAAGGATTACAATACAAAGCAGTGATTAGTATCTGAGGTGAAAGTGAAAGTGAGGTCGCAGCCCTCAGATCTTTCTCCAGTTTGTTATTTGACATCTCAAAACAGTTTTAAAACTGTACCATTCATAGGGCCAGAAGAGAGAAAGAGATCTGAACTCTTTAAATATAATAAATAATATAATAAATATATTAAAGTAAAATAATATGTAAAATATATACTAAAAATAATATAATGAAAGCTACTCCAGCTCACAACCGAGAAGGGTATTGTTCTCCCTGCCACCACCAAGCCTTCATGACCTCCTACCTGGAAGGCTGTAATCAGCCCTAACAGGCCTTCCTGCCTCTAGTCTTTGCCCCCTCCTGTCCTTAATGTGCAGCCAGGCTAATCATCGATCTGCTCAGGTGACTTCTGTTCATGCAGAGCATTGGAGGAAATGTAGATTGAAAGGTTGGAGGATAGAGGGAGTTATTGGAGAACAGGACAGGGGCTCCTGAAATCACCACAGAGTGGCATAGGAGGTGTGTGGGGAGGGGGGAGAAGCCACTTAGCAGTGGTCCTGGCTTGCAATAGCACTAATTAGAATAGGGATGAGGGTTGGGGAAGAAATAGTCTTAGGGATGTGTTACTTGTACTCACAGTAGAAGAATGAATTGCCTGCAATGGGGGAGCCAAGCCAGTGGGGTCCGCTTCTTCAGTTGATCTTAACAATTAGAACATTTGTAGAGCCAACTCAGGATGCAGCTAGGTGGCTCAGTTTATGTCATATAAGAATCAGGTGAAGTCGCTAGGGATGTTTAGCCAGTTGAAAAGATAACAAAAATGGGATATGATGACAGCTTTAAATTCAGTAAACTTTAATTAGATACTTACTATGTAATAATAATAATGATGGTAACAGCTAACATTTTTATAGCACCTACTATGTGCCAGGCACTGTGCTAAGTGCTTTACACATATCACATTTGATCCTCACAACAACCTTGGGAGGTAGGTGCTATTATGATCCCCATTTTACAGATAAAGAAACTGAGGCAAACAGAGGTCAAGTGACTTGTTGAGGCTCACACAACTAGTAAGTGTCTGAGGCAGAATTTGAACTCAGGTCTTCATGACGTCAGGCCCAGTGCTCTGTGCACTGTGGTGCCCTGTAGCTGCTTTGTATAAGACTCCTTGCTATTAGTTGAGAACAATGAAAATAACAATAAAAATAAAAATAAAATAGTTCTTGCCCTCAAGGAGTTTCTATACTTCTAGGAGGACACAGCATAGGTGCAAATAAAGAAATATGAAGGGATTTCCTGAAAGTCCAAGAGTGGGGAGGGAGGGGGTGAGCTGTACAAAAGGGAATGGTGAGGGACAAGGTGGGGCATTGTAGTGGTCAAAGAACCATCCTCAGAACCAGGAGGACCTGAGTTCCAGTTCTGTCTCTGACATGCTGGGTAGGTGACCCTCGGTAAGGCACTTCATTTCTCAATGATCTGGGTAACCCTCAAAGATGCCAAGCTACAGAGAAGGTGTGAGGAAATCCTAGGTCTGGCCTCTCCCCTATACAGAGGTCAGTTTGATTGGAATAGAGTAGAGGAGGGGCTCTCACAGAAAAGAAGATTGTGGAAGAGGAGGTAGAGGGCTTTCAATTCCAGGCTGAAGAGTTTGGACTTTATCCGAAAAGCGATAGATAAGCAGTCATGGAAGATGTTTGAGTGTGTTTGTCGGGGCGGGGGGTCCTATATCTTAGGAATATCTGGCAGCTGCATGGAGAATGTTTAGGGGAGAGATGAGGGCTAGAGACAATGCTAGCAACTGAGAAAGTGGCCCCTGAGTTGAGCCTTTGAGGAAGATAAGGATTCTGAGAGGGAAAAGGAAGGAATGGACAAATGGGAGAGGCTGTGGAGCCCAAAGAGACAGGAATGGTGACTGAGCGACTGAATATAGTGGGCTGAAGCAGTGGGCAGAGTCGAAGATGACCTCAAGGAGGTGACTGCCTGCCTTCAAGAAAATCCCAAGGTTTGAAAGTTGGGAGGACCTGAGCAGAGTCATTACTGCAGCACCCTGAGAAGTGGTTGCCTAGCCTCTGAAGACCTCTAGAGCTGGAAGCAAACTCGGAGGCCATTGAAGCCAACTCCTTCATTTTGCAGATAAGGAAACAGGCCAAGGGAGATGAAGTGACTTGCCCAGAGTCACACAGGTAGTAAGGTCACAGGCAGGATAAGAATCCAGATCCTCCGACCACAGAGCCAACTCTCCCAGAACACTGTATCAGTCCCTTATTACTGACTGCCTGCTGGACAGCTCCAGCTGGGAATATTGTAGGTATCCCAAGTTTGACATATCTAATATAGAACTCTTATTTATTTTAAAATTTTTAAAATTTTATTTTCTGTTCCAAATTCTCTCTCTCCTTACTTTCCCTCCCTCATCCATTGAGAAGGCAAGAAAAATAGAAATCCATAACAAATAATAATCATATAAAACAAATCTCCATATTAGCCATGTTCTAAAAAAGAAAGAAAGAAAGAAATAGAAGAAAGAATACTTCAAAGTGCACTCTGAATGCATCTGTTCCCTGGCATTGAGCAGCATGTTTCATCATGAGTCCTTTGGAATTGTGGTAGGTCATTGTGTTGAGAGTTATTAAGTCTTTCAGAGTTGATTATCTTTACAATGTCGCTGTTATTGTATAAATTGTTCTGGTTCTACTCAGTTCACTTTACATCAGTTCATATATGTCTTCCTAAGTTTTTCTGAAGCCACCCCCTTCCTCATTTCTTACAGCACAATAGTGTTCCATCACATTTACACACCGGAACTTGTTCAGCCATTCCCCAATTGATGGGCCTCCCCTCACTTTCCAATTCTTTGCTGCCACAAAAAGAGCCGCTATGAGTATTTGTGTACATATGGGTCCTTTTCCTTTTTCTTTGATCTCTTTGGGGTATAGACCTAATATCGGTATCACTGTCATTGTAGTTCCTTAAAACCCATCACTCCTCCAAACTCGCATTCTGGTGACCATACCACCATCCCCTTTATCACATGACCAGGTTTCCAGTCTCAATCATCTTTGACTCTTCCCTTAAACCTCATCTCTAGTCACTTGACAGCTCTCATCAGTATTTCCTCCACAGTATGCATCCTGCTCTCTACCTACACAGCGGAGTTTATGACACTATCCCTCCTCGACCATCTATTGCAACAGCTTCCTAATGGGTCTCCTTGACTCCACACAGCTGCCATGTACATCTTCCTAAATGTCAATAGCTCCTTGAAATCAGTCTCTCTGTTTGATTTTTTCCCTTGGTATCTATCTCCAGCACTCAGCATTGTGCCTGGTACGTTTTGTTTATTTTTTATCTTGTACCAGACTGTGTAGGGCAGTGGTGTCAAACGGAAATGGAAGTCACTAATCTGTACAAAAGGATCCCTGTGGGCTTCATACTGACTTAGTTTTTAAATGTGTTATCTGTTGTTATTGTATTTTAATTTATTTTGTTAAATATTTTCCAATTGCATTTTAATGTGGTTTGGGCTGCACTTGGGAGTATTGTGGGCATTCGCCCCCTTGGGTGTGGGGAACTCTTTTTTTTTAATTAATTTATTTTTAGTTTTCAACATTCACTTCCACAAGATTTTGAGTTCCAAATTTTCTCCCGATCCCTTCTCTCCCCCTACTCCAAGATAGCAGGCATTCTGAATACCCCTTCCCCCAATCTGCCCTCCCTTCTATCACCCCCTTATCCCCTTCCCCTTCTTTTTTCCTGTAGGGTAAGAGAGATTTCTATACCCCATTGCCTGTATATCTTATTTCAGTATGGGGAACTCTTGATGTGTCTGTAATTGACAGTCTTTGAGAAGTTCCTGAAGCACTAAGAGGTTAAGTGACCATGCCCATGGTCACACAGCTCTTGCTAACTCTAAGACCCTCACTCTGGTCACCCCACCATGCTCCTTGCCATAGGAGGTGCAGTGTTTGTGGAACTGGATTGAGGCAAGCTCTCAGGGCCTTAGTTTCTTCTTTCTAGTTATAAAATTCTATGACCAAGAAACTGAGAAACAGGCTAAATAACTCAGCTCTGTTACATCAGCTTTTGGGGGGCTGCCTCCCCCACACCAGTGCTGTTCTTTCTGTGTCACAGGGCTATGATCCACAGTCCTTGAATTCTTCCTCCTCTTCTCGCCATCCCCTAGACATACGGGCCTGGGACTCATTGGGTTGGCTGTTGGGTTGCTCATGATTGGTTGCTGTCTCTGCAGTTGGGTTCGCCTGGGTGCCTTTGCTGAAGGACGGCAGAATAATCACGTTTGAACAGCAGCTACCAGTCTCAGCCAACCTTCCTCCTGGCTACCTGAGCCCTGGTGATACAGAATCCAGAAGGGTAGGAAAATATTTGCTTATAAAAGTGGATCATTATGGAAAGTATAAGGCCAATTTTTTGAAGGGGAAGAAATTACATTTTGTTCTCTATGGAGGCTGCATTAGCTACTGTTGCTATTTTGGAGGGGAACTTTGCATAGCACCCGTATTCTAAATGCAGGAGTGAGTTTTGTATGAAGCTACTATACTCAAAGAGGAAGAAATGTTTAAATGCAGGAAAGGGGTTTTAGGCTATTCATTTGTATATCTACGTGATGAAATGAAATAAACCCAAGACCTTGTTTTCTGTTCACAGCAATCAAATGTTGATATTAAGTGGGTAGATGGTGCAAAGCCTCTGTTAAGGATTAAAACACACTTAGAATCGACCATCTACACTCAGGTAAGGCAGATAATCAGAGTTCTTTCAACCTTAGTGTTGGGAGAAAAGAACTTGGTGGCTGAGCTTTAGCAGTATCGGCCGACTGTGGTGCTCAGGAACCTTGAGAGGTGTTGGTCTGGGGGATGTTCTGAGTGAACAGGGCCTCCAAATGCCCCATGTGTCCGTGTGACTTGTCTGGATTCTCGAACCACGGAGTGGACAGAGTAGAGAAGTGCCTCCGATTGCCTCTTCAGAAGCTCTCTGCAACAGATTGGGACTATGCATCTGAATGGTTCTCAAGAGGCGGTGGAAGCAATTTAGCCTGTTGGGTGTACACTATCCTCCATGGAAATCCACTTAGTAGTGACTTGGGTTAAATCGCTGATTTCTGCTACTCCTCTTCCCCCACTCCTTCATTCTTACCTCCCCTCCCCACCGGGGGGTGTTTACAGAAATGTCGCTTTCTAGGGCCACTTAGTTTGTGAAGTGAAAAGACATGCTGGTGCCTACAGAGTAGGACTTCGGTGAGAGAGAGAGAGGGAGAAGGAAGGGAGGCAGACAGACAGATCTATTATGGTCAAGGGGGCTTGGGGGATACAGATGAAAAGAGAGGCAGTTGTCACTATAGAGGCTGAGCTCTTGGGATACCTAGCGAAGCCTGTTGGGCGATAGATTTGGGATAACGGCTCTCTCCATCTGGTTTCTAGGATCTGCACGTGCACAAATTCTTCCGTCATTGCCAGGCAATACAGTCTGGCACTAAAGCGGTTCCAGGGGAGCTCATTAAATATTTAAAGGTAAACGCAAGGTGGCTTTCCATAAACTTTCCAGTCAAAATGAGTTTGCTTTGTGGGCCTCTGTGTTGCCACGTTTTGATTTGGAAAAAAAGAAGCTAGTATTTTGAATGTGTTTTTGCTGAGACCATGCTTTTTGTTCCTCGCTTTTCCATTAAGTGGCTTTTTAGACACAAACAGTAAAATCACTCTAGTGAGAAGCCAATATTCTAAGCTCAGAATTCCAGATCTGATTCTTAGTGAGTTTTGTTGTGAATGTAGTGATGACATAGTCATCACTATTGTAGCTTATCCAGGGGAAATCGCTATCCCATCTGCTTTCTCCTTTGTTCCTCCCAGGACCCTCTGTAACATGCAGGGTAGGTAGTAATGCCCCATTTTTACAGTTGAAGAAGCTTGCGCTTCCACTGGTTACATGCCTTGACCAAGAAAGACTATGTGATGAGTAGCAGAATCAAGGACTCAAACCAAGATCTTCCAATATTTTTCCCACTGTACAGCACCCCCTCTCTAAAAATGCCTTTCTCTCTGAAAATGTCTATTCAGTTCAATAAACTGAAATGTCAGAAGCATTTTTATCCTACTGATTTCCTACTGCTAACGTAGATCTCAGAGTGGAAAACAAAGTTTTCAGAAAGATAGAGAAACCACAGGAGCTTGAAGCAGTGTTGCTATCCTTGTCTGTGCCTCAAAGATTATGAAAAGGGCCAAGCAGAAAGGAGACAACATCTCCAGTGTATTTTACATTTGTTCTTTAGCACTGCCTCAAGTGCCCATGATGGTCAAGGGAGCTCCTTTCATCAGGGAAGGCTCAGGACATAATCATCTTGTAGGAATTGTGCCTTGATGAGATTACATGAGGCACAAACTTGGAAAAGAAGATGGTGGCACCTAGATGGAGCACTGCCTAAGGAAGGGAGCCCCAGGGTGTTCCTGAGCTGCCATAGGGAGAAAGCTGAAGTAAAGCAGTTTAATAGGAAAAGATTGGTCTCCCCAGCGAGACATGTTGGATAAGCTACATATCGTATGTTTGGGCTGTAGAGACTGGAAAAAATGGAAACCCAGGAACGTGACTCCATGTGGAAGAAGCTAGTCGTACAAGGTGATCCGGTCTCAGAGGGTGGAGCCCTCTGTAGATTTCAGTGTTGGCCATGGAAGGAGATGGTAAAATGACTGACTCTATCCTCATTCCATCTGCCCACATTCCGGAATGATAGGATTGTAAGATCATTGATTCAGAGCTAAAAGGTCACTGTAACCAGTCTCATTTTACATATGAGGAAATTGAAGCCCAGAAAGGTTAGGCCCAAGGTCACATAGGTAGCATGTGGCAGACCCAGGATAGAGTCTCTACCCTCATGTAAATTTCTCCAGCGTTTCATTTTTTTTTCCTATCCACTACCTCAGGAACTGTAGGAAATGGCACTCATTTGTCTTAGGAGTACAGAGAGTAGCAGATTTCACAGAGTGATGATTTCTCCCTTTTTCCCCCATTATTTTGGCGTCTTAATTAAAATGCTTTGCTCCTTGAGGGCAGCTACTGTATATTTCCTTTAATGCAGTACCTGGCACATAGCAGGCATGTAACTAAATTCTAGTTGACTGATTGGATCTATGCCTCTCATGTAGCCTGTGAACACAGTGTTGTACCGGTGGGACTTGGGGCCATAATTTACATAACTGATTACTCAAAAGACCTCGTGCTGAACCTGTGAAAAGTAGTAAGGGGAACCAGAACTAAAGTTCTCAGAGGGACTGAAGGGGATTTTGGTTACATATTGTTGTTATGGAGATGGTGGTGTCAAATTTTTGTCCATTTCTTATGGAGATATTGAGCCTTAGAGACAGCTTAAAAATCAATCAGGATGTCTTCTATACTTGTCAAGGTAGTACAGCTAGGGGCTACTTCTTAATAAGCTAGCTAGGAGGAGGAGCCATATTTGATTTGGATGAAGACTGGACAAAATTTCCCAGGAGTGTACATACATACAGTGTCTGAGCCAAGCGGATAGTATCATCGACCATTAACGCTGTATGGGACAAGCAAATCAAATTACATAACCATTCATTGAAGAGTGAGACATGGAGAGGTTTCAGCTAAATCTTTCATTCCCCCCCTCCCCAAGGCTGCACTCAGTCTGAAGGTCTTAACTCTAGTCTTTATTCTGTCACTTACTGGGATGTGACTATGGGCTCTCTGCCTCAGTGCCCTCGTCTGTAAAATGGGGCTTTGTAATACCTGCCGTATCTAATTTACAGGGTTGTTATGAGGAAAAAATGAATGTGAATGCACTTTGAACACTAAAATATTAATCAATGAAAAGAATACTGTTGCACCTGAGGTGGCATCATTATCTGTAATTCAAATCCATCCCTCCAGTACTGACCAGGCAAAGGATCTCTCATTGATTCTGCAGTCATATATATGTTAGGTTCACTGGCTTTTTCAGGGGTGAGGAGCTGTGTCAAATGATATAGAAGACACAGTTTTTTAAAGGGCACAAGCCTGCTGTTATTTGTATTATGCAAGCTTGCCCCCTAGTGGCAGTTGGTGAAATGCTACATGCTTTCTGGAATAGAATTTAGCTCCTCTGAGTTGAAAGGAACCTCAGAGATCCTGGAATGTGAGCTGTACCCAGTTGAAATCCATTCCACAACAACCCTGTCTAGTGGGCAGCGTGAGATGTGGAAGGGACCTAGAGATCGGCTAATTCAACCTTACAGATGAGGAAGCGTAAGAACACATTGGCATTATCTACAGTTTTAGATCTGCTTCATATTCTATATATGTAACGACAATTCTCTTCAAAACTGGGACATCATAAAAATCCCATGGAAATGTGGAAAACTCCAAGAAAACAAGGAAAGGCTGGAGTTATAGATAGGTCCATTCAGACTAGGGTTACATTATCTTTTGACTTTTGACTACAATGAAATCATTTTTGGTGTTACATAGTACTTTATACAGTGTTCCTAAACACCCTATTTAAACTGCGCTAAGACTTTTGGGACGTTCTGTATTCATATTTGAGGGGCAGTGCTACTTAGTGGGTAGACTGCTGGACTTCAAGTCAGGAAACTTGGAATTCAGAGCCCTCCTCTGTCTCTTGCTGATTGACTTCTCTGAGCCTCAGGCAGCCCTAGGATTTTAAGAGAAATCCCATTATGATAAAATCATAGGTCCTTGACATTCTGAAGTATATATATTGAGCTTTACGTGAGTCTCTCATATTTCTGTTCGCTTTCATCACTAATGCTATTTAGTAAATGTGTGTGTGTATTTTAAACATTTCATTTTAGTGTTTGCATGCCATGGAGATTCAAGTAATGATACAGTTTCTACCTGTAATTCTTACGCAACTCTTTCGTGTTCTCACAAATATGACCCAAGAAGATGATGTGGCTATCAACTGCACCATGTGAGTTTCACAAATAATTGAGATACTTTTAAAAAAAAATCCAATCTTGCTTGATTTTGAGTGCCTTGGAGCCAAAATATAATTTTAACTTCCAAATGGTGACCTAATAAATGGAATCCTAAGAAATAATCGTAATTCACAACCTTCAGCCATCTCCAGGCCATTGCTTTAAAAATTTCAATGATTTCTCTGTTGTGGGGTCCCTTCCCCCTTCTGAATTTTCATGATCCTGTGGTTTTCAGTGATCAAAAGATATGGAAAGTTGTCTTTCTCTCTTCCCTTGGTGACTTTGGATTGTCTCAAACCTGTCCTTCACTTTGTCCTAACCACAAACATAACTCTCATCATTTTTTCTCTTTTTATCCTTTTTTCCTGGGCTTTAAATGTGAGTCTGTCTTCCAGGTACTTTATCACATAGAATAGCTTCAATAATAGTTATAATATACATTAAGATAACTGGGAAGAAAGTAAATGATAACATGCAAAGTTTAGGTTACCTAAAGGTATGTGTTTTGGACTTGAAGCCATATTTTTTAAGGCTCTTGGTTTGATGTTGCTATATTTGAATTTAGATGAACTCGTCTTGTATAATGATCTCCCTTTTTATTCTTCCATAATATAGGGACAACATTAGATCTTAATCAACTGATATTTGTTACACATCTACAGTGGGCCAAGCACTGGGCTAGGTGTTTGAAATAGAGGGAAAAAAAATTAAACACTGCCTACCCTCAGGGAACTTAGAGCCTATTGAGAGATAATGTACCTAAATATATATAGATAGAGTATAGATCAAATAAATACCAGGTCATTTAGGTAGGAGCTTGGGGGAGGGGAGGGTCAAGAAAGAGTTCACACATAGAAGATGGTATTTGAGCTGAGTTTGGAGGGAAACAGGATTCTAAGATGGAGAGATGAAGAGAGAGCTCATTCCAAGCATAGGAGATAGCTAGTGCTACTTTACGTGTGTGTGTGTGTGTGTGTGTGTGTGTACAGAGAGAGATATGCACATGTAGTAAGATTGAGTAAGTAGGTTGGGGCCATGTTGTGAAGGGCTTCAAATGACAAATTGAGGAGTTTGGGGGAGCCACTAGAATTTATTGAGTAGGAAGGTGACCTGCTCAGACTTGGTCTTTAGGAAAAGCACTTTGGCAGCTGGAAGGAGGATGGATTGGAGGAGGAAGAGGAGACTGAGATGAGAGGTAATAGGGATCTGAATGAGAGTGGTGGTTGTCAGAGAGAAGGGGATCAGCTACAAGAGATGTTGTCAAAGTAGGAATGACAAAATCTTGCAATTGACTGCATGTGTGGAGCTAGAGAGAATGAAGATTCAAGGATAATGACAGGATGGTGAGTCTGGGAGATAGGAAGGCTGGTGGTACCTTCAGCAGAAATAGGGAAGCTCAGAGAAGGGATAGGTTTTGGGGAGAAGATGACGACTTGTGTTTTGGACGTGTCGACTTTGAGATGCCTGTGGGAATCCAGTTTGACTTGTCCAAAAAGCAATTGGTAATGCAGAACTAGAAATCAAGAGAAAAACTAGGGCTTGGTATATAGATTTGGGAATCACCTACATAAAAAAAGATAATTAAGGCCATGGGGCCCAACGGAGATCATTAAGTAAAAGAGTCTCTAGAGGTTTAGGAATGAAGAGCTGTTCTCCAAGCCGACTCAGTTTGATTCTTACTTCCTCTAATCTTGATGACCACTGCCTTTAACTTAACGGAGCTTGGCACAAATCTCCTCATTCTGTGATTCTGAAATGACCACAAAGTCTTAGAGCTAGAATAAACCTCAGCGGACATCCAGTCCAACCTGTACCTGAACAAGAGTGTCTTCAGTAGCATTCCCACCAAATGGTCCCCCCCCTTTAGACAGGTATGCTTAGGAAGCTTTTCCTGACCTCAAGTCTGAAATCTGCTTCTGTGCCACCTTCACCCATTGCCCTTGAGAGGAACAAAGGAGCTTTGGAGTGCCTCATTTGGGGTCTTCACTATGTCGTTTCAGGGTTCTCTTACACATTGTGTCAAAATGCCATGAAGAAGGCTTGGATCATTACTTAAGATCCTTTCTAAAGGTTGGTGGGGAATCTTTCTTCTTTTTTCGGTGGGTGGGGGGCTGATTCCTTAATAATCTCATTAGGTTCATGGTTTCTTTTTGTTTGTAGTATAGTTTTCGGGCTGAGAAACCAGGTGCCCCTCAGGCCCAGATGACACATGAAATTCTGGCCACAGCCATGACAACAGCGCTAAAGCAGTCTGCAGACTTTTTAGCCATAAATAAACTGCTAAAGGTAAGGGCCCAGGAGGTACTGGGGAATTTAAGGAAAGCTGTGCCTAGCTGGCCAGCCTGGAGGGAGGCAAGGCTGAGAGGGAGGCCTGAGGGCCCCAGCTTCCAGCTCAGAGAGGCTGAAGTTAGACTCCCTTTAAAGGGAGTCTTGTCAGCTCACTTTGGTGCAGATACCATTCTTAGGAAAATCCAGTCTGCTTTTATGCATGTACAATGTGCATGGCCTTTGACAAAAAAAAAAAAAAAAAACCTGGTCTAGGCTGTGCTTACAGATAGAATCACCAGGGTGTGGCCTCTGAGCCGCAGAACTAGCAACTCTGTGGAGCAAGGGGGGACCCCCCCAAAGTGTAAGGAATAGGACAGGTGACTGACTTGTCCATTCCCTTTGGTCAGGTCAAGACCAATAGGGAGTAAAGAGAAAAGGACGAATCTGTTGGTAAATTCTAGAAGCACTCAGATGGACTCGTGAAGGCAAAACTCTTTGTAGGCCATGTCTAACCTAATCCCAGAAAATAACCTGCCCTCAAAATCTCTTGTGTTCGGCTGATTCAATTTTATTGTTCATTACTGGTAAGGCATTGATTTAGACAGTACCCAAAAGGCTAATCTAGATTTGGAGCAGGGGCAGTTTACAAACTAAATTTCCAATAACTTGAATGAACCTTGGAGTCGTTGCCTTCTTTCCCTATCAGCTAGTTTGGCATTTCCCACATTGGACATTGTTGCCTGGAATTATTTTCCACTTGGAATATTTGATCTGGACTTTCTTTCTATGCTGTGGTTAGTGAATCTGGAATGGATCCAATTATCATCTTTCTCCAATGCCCTCCTCCAGTGCCTCTTAGAGAACCTGGGTTGTCAGGTCATGTCAACAGATCACAAGCTAGGGCAGGCAGACTTCCTCCCACTGTGGCGGACTGTGTGCCAGTTTGAAAACCAACCTGTTTCAGCTTGGAGAAGCTCATCACCAGGAGGTTGGCTACCGAGTGATGAAGTTTTTGTCCTTGGTGGCTCGCAGAGACTGTGGGCAAAGGTGTGGGGGGGAGGGGAAGAGAGGGGACAACAGAGTTTCCACAGCAGTGAAATTCCAGCTCGTTGAAATGTCTTCTAATCACCTCTGGCCGGAGTTATTGCTTACAGTACATTCTTTTCTGGTTTTGTTTGTTCCCCTTTTCTTAAAACCATTAACCCTCTGTTTTTCGTACTGAGTAACTTTGATTTTGCTTTTGTTTCTGGCTTTTTTTTTTGGTCACTGATATCGTATCCCTAGTAAATACTTTTTGATGTGGACAGTAGAACCAAAGAGCCAGGCCATGAGAGGCCATCTACTCCAGAGGATGACGATTTCAGCTAAAAATCTATAGGCTTTGTTAGTTTTTTTTTTCTGTTTCATTGATTTTAATTTTCACATGAGGCCACTTTTTTGGTGATGTAACGTTTGGACTTGTACCATCTCCACCACACCCCTCAAACCTCTGTCTGTTTAGTTGTGACTATATAGCTGCAAACAAAATCTACTTCAGAATCCAAGCAAGATAGGACCTGGGCAAAATTGTGAAACATGCAAAATCTGTCCTCATCCCTCTTTGAGTGATGCTGTCTAGGTATCTAGTACTCTGAAGCCCTCTCCACCCTTTTACTGTCAAAACCGACTTGTAGCTCTCAGAAGGGAGCTGATAAACCAGTCTAGTTCTTAAAATGAGATCACCCTAAAGTATAAGTGATTACCCATTTCAAAGGAAGCTTCATTTTAATTGGTCATATTCCTTTAACCTGGGAAACAGAATCTCTCAGGGTCAAATTTTAGGCATCACGGACAGATAAGTGGGAAGATATTTGAGGAGGTTCCTCAAATCACTTGTGTCAATACTTCAGCTGACTCTAAAGTGGCTATTGGTGGATCATAGGATCTAGGGCTGGAAATTTCCTAGTTCAACTCCCCTACCCCCTACCTCCTCCATTAGCAATGAGGAAACAAGAGGGCAAGTGACTTGTCAGGAACAGAGTCCAGATTCAAACCCAGCTCCTCTGGCTCCAAATCCGGGGCTCAGAATACCACACTGTTTTCATAATCTTTTTTTAAAATGATGGGAGGGAAATAATGCTTTGGAAACTCCCGTTACACACACACACACACACACACACACACACACACACACACACACACACGTACACGTGCTCAGCTCCCTAGCAGGTGAGCATCCTAATGGTTTTCAAAGATGTCATTTTTTTTCCATTCCAGTACTCCTGGTTTTTCTTCGAAGCTCTGGCCAAGTCCATGGCCTCATACTTACTTGAAGAGAACAAAATTAAGGTAAATAAACTCAAAAGTGGTTTTTCTAGGTAAATGAATAAAGGTCATTCCCTTCTAGTTCGCTTTGTATTGAAAGGCATTTCAGTCCTTAGCTTAGCTTGAGGAGAATATGAAGTGAAAACAAAGCAAGGCTCCAAGCCTAGATGGAGAACCCTGAGCAGTTGTGTACAAAGTTGTTTACAGGTGTTGCCATTTGAAACCTGGACATGGCCAGTCTCTTGGGAGTCTGGCTTCTGTATGGTTTTGGGGTGAAAGTGTCCCAGAGCAGAAATGACTGTGACTTAGCACGGTTGATGGCATATATAGTCATTTGTTACCCTTTTTCTGAGGTGCTTTGCTTTGTGCAGCAGATCTGGTCTGCAAAACAAAAACTCAACCCCCACCCCCACCAACCCCAGCTCTTTAGAGAGACATTTTGGTCATCGCCATTGTCGAGGACTTCAGAGTTTGCTTTCAGCGCAGCTGCCTTCGGTGTAGAGAGCCAGAAGGGGCAAGGGTTTCGGGTTCCCAGAGCGAGTAGGACTAGCAGCCACCCAGTAGCAGAGAGCCAGCGACTCATTCAGTGCTAATAATCAGTTGTGCTCATTGCCATAGTGGCCGGGGTCAAATCTTCTTTCAACTCAATCAAATGTGTTTGGAGGAGGAAAAGGCAGGCTTGGCCTCCCTCCGCTCTTGCTCCTGCTTCCAAATGTTGCCATTTTGGGCCTTTAACTCTCTCTGCATGTTGAATTTCAGCTTCCCAGAGCCCAGAGATTTCCCGAGTCCTACCATCATGTCCTCCACTCGCTCCTTCTGGCAATAATTCCTCATGTGACTATTCGATATGGGGAGATACCCGAAGAATCAAGAAATGTTAATTATAGCTTGGCCAGCTTCCTGAAGGTGAGTTGTTTGGAGTTGTGGGGCACAAGCTCAGCTGTGAGGCAGGCTACTGGAACAACTGCTTTGATGAAAAGAATCAGTCATTTCAGTCAAACAACCAGTTTGGACGGATTTTTTTTCCCTGCCAAAACGCCCAGCGGTTTGACTGATTTGATGTACACAAACCATACAATTCAGATAAAAAAGTGAGTAGTTTGGTACACTTGGTCTAATGTTTTGTCTATATACTGCCTCCAATCCAGGTGTTTATGGGGGACAGAAAACACATTTCTTCTTGTTGTTATTATACTTGAGACCACTTTGGAGTGTTTGCAGGAAATGAGCAAGCCTCCTAAGACTGAGTACAGCAAGTCCCCAACTTCAGAATGAGTGGTGTTCCAAATGTTTATAGCAGATTGGAGTTTAGAACACATTTTCCCATAATAACAATGTTATTAATGAAACATAGACTCTTAGAGATATGTAAGGGACCCCTGAGATCTTCTTGTCTAGTCCTCTCATTTGACAGATGAGGAAACTGAGGCATAGAGAGGTTAAAGTGACCTTCCAAAAGTCACACAGCAAGCTGGCTTAGGTGGCTCGGTGGGTAGAGACCTGGACGTGGAGTCAGGAAGACTTGAGTTCAAATCGGGCCTCAGATAAACACTAGTTGTATGACCCTGGGCAAGTCACTTCATTGCTGTCTGACTCAATTTCCCCATCTGTAAAATGGGATAACAATAATACCTACCTCTTGGGGTTGTTGCGAGGATCATATGAAATATTTGTTAAGTGCTTTGCACAGTGCCTGGCACATAGTAGGTGTTTAATAAATACTTGTTTCCTTCCTTCTTTCTTTCCTAGTACCAGGTCCATGTTCCTTCTATTATACCTGGCTGCCTCCCTCCCATTACTAGTAATAATGGTGTTATTAATACCGAGAGTAGGATTTTACCTAGGTTCTGGGTTAAATTGTCTTTTGAGTGCCTGCCTGGGCAGCTAATTACTATTCATAACTTAGTTTCTGCAGGTAAGTAGATTTGTCAACACACCTCCAGAAGGGAGTATGGGGTACCAGAAATCATTGTATCTCTTGTTGCAGCTGGGATGGCTGCTGTCCATTGACTCAGTGAAAAGACAGTGTGGGTACTTAGGCTGTATTTTTCCTCCCAGGCCCCAGCATTGGCCCTCCCGAGCACAGGCTAGCTGTTTCCAGGTCTGGATGTTTGAAAGTTGAAGAATGCCCAAATATTTGCTTTACTGAATTTTACTGAATTGCAGCGTAGATAATTTAGACAGAACTGAAAGATAGAGGGAACCTTCAGGTGAGGAAATTCCCTCTACCAATTATAGATGGCGCCTTCTCTGCAACTTCAAGGCGATGTTGCCTCAAGCACTGAGTTTTCACTTAATATTCTCCTCAAGCTAAGCTTTCAGCACCTAGCCAGCATCCCAGTATATGGCTGGGGCAGGACTTGAACGCAGGTCTTCTTGACTTAGAGGCCAGCTCTGTATGCCATGCTGCCTCTTCTTCTTGATGCCTTTTGGGTTTTTATATAATATTCCTTTACAAGTATATTCCTGTCCCTTCTCCTGCCCAGCAAGCCTTTCTTTAAAAACAAAAAGAAAAAAAAAATTGACCTTGTCTAACAATGTCTATACAATATCCCATAATCATGGAGCAGATGGGTACTGCTCTCGATGGGAATTCCATATGCATTGAGGCAGCTAGGTGGCACAGTAAACAGAGCCCTGGGCCTGCAATCAAGAAGACCTGAGTTCAAATCCAGCCCAGACACTTACTAGCTATGTGACCTCTATGTAAGCTCTTCTGCCTTAGTTTCCTCAACTGTAAAGTGAGGACAATAATAGCACCTACTTCCAAGGCTGCTTGTAAGGATCAAATGAAATAATCTTTGTAAAAAGTACTTTGTAAAAAGCACAGTGCTTAGCACACAATAGGTGCTATATAAATGTTTATTTCCTTCCCTTCCTCTCCCCCCTCCCCCCAGTATCCCACTTCTACACTGAAGGAAAAGGGATGTGGAGTTTTTTCATCTCTTCTCCAGGGCCAAGCTTGGGCATATGGAACATTCTATTTCCTTTTACGGTTCTTTGTGCTTACATTCCAATCCCCTCATTTTATAGATGGTAAACTAAGGCCTAGGATGGGGAAGTGACTAGCTCAAGGTCACACAGAGCCAAGACCAGAAGCTGGCTAGGGATAGAAGCATGGAGGTCTGACTGAATGAATGAGTATTGTCTGTACCAACTTTTCCCAACTTTTTTTTTTTGCTTTTTGCTTTTTACTAGGCAATTGGGGTTAAGTGACTTGCCCAGGGTCACACAGTTGGTATGTGTTGTGTGTCTAAGACCAGATTTGAACTCAGGTCCTCCTGACTTCAAGGCCAGGGATCTACCCACTACGCCACCTAGCTGCCTCTCCCAACTTTTTTGGGGTACGGCAATAAACACCTCTAAGGCTTGCTTCCCCAGACTCTGGAATTCAGTAACTCTCCATGGAATAGGCCAGGAGTGGGGAACCTGCGGCCTGGAGGCCACATGTGGCCCTCTAGGTCCTCAAGTGCAGCCCCTTGGAACCTGCAGACTCCAGGCCACAGGTTCTCCACCTCTGGAATAGGCTCTGGTTATCTAATGCGTTCAATTACAGCTTTTTAAAAATATCCCAGTCCAATTAAACAGTACAGATGCCCAGACGAAAGAAATGTGACAGGGAACATCCTCAAATTGTGGGGTCCCAGGATATAGAAGAAACTCTTGTAGCCTTGGAAAGGGAAAGTGCAGGGGGAAGAAGAGGCCAGAGTTAGGGGGTGCTTTATGCCAAGAACCAACATGTCCTGGGCCTGGCCATCACTCTAAAACCTCTCCAAACAGTTTGAATATATTGAGGTGTTTGTTTTGCTGATAAAAATACACTTTCAATTCTATGAGAAACTGGGCTGTTTCCAAGGAGGAACTTTATAGCCAACCTTACTAGAATATTCTTTTAAAAAAAGAGACAGCTGTAGATGCTTTGTTGGTTAAGTTGGGTGGGTCTTTTGGACCTTCTCAGCACACTCCTCCCACAATGCCTCAAAGAATGAATAACCCTGAAGACGATTTCTGTTTGAGACACATCTGGGCTTTTCTGATTATTAATTCTGGATAAAGGTCTCAGATCCCTGATGCCTTTCTTTGCCAAAATGGAAGTGCTACTATTATGTAAGGCTTTCTGTGTATTAGAAACCAAGCAAACAGCTAAACTCCATCCTCAAGTAAATTCAGTAAGAGATTATTTGGGATCTAAAGTATCAGAAAGAAATTGGTCTTTTAATCCTTTTCTTGGGAATTCATGCCCAGCAATTGAAGGCTGGCTATGTAAAGCAAAGTGCACCAAATTTATTTTTGTATTGGTCATAAAGTGATATGTCTACAATCGGTAGGGCATTTATTGAACGCCAGCTGTAATGATAGCTGACACTTTATATCTTGAGCTTCACAGCAACCCTTTGAGATATGCAGGACAAATGTTATCCCCATTTTATAGAAGGAAACTAAGGCTCTAAGAGATTGTCACTTGTCCGTGGTCACATAGCTATTCAAGTATATGGGTGGTCACATTTGAACCTAGGTCTTTCTGACTCCAAGTGCAATACTCTTATGTACTAAACCAGAGGTGGGGAACCTGCGGCCTCAAGGCCACACGTGGCCTTCTAGTTCCTCAGGTGCTGCCTTTTGACTGAGTCCGAGTTTTACAGAACAAATCCTTTTATTAAGGGAATTTGTTCTGTGAAGTTTGGATTCGGTCAAAGGGCCGCACTTGAGGACCTAGAGGGCCGCACGTATCCTTGGAGACAGCAGGTTGCCCATAACTAAACCATGTCCTATGCTAGGCAACATGGGGGATACAAATGTAGCAAGACTCTGGATTCGTTTTCCCAGAACAAGGTTGGCTCCATCTCCCCATCAGGGTTCTTGGGGCACCCTTCTTCTAAGAGGGAAGTCTTTCTCTAATGCTCTCAGGGCCCCCATTCCAGTGTGTTCTTTCCCCCACCCCCACCCTCTATGGTTAACTGGTGCCCTTTCATTTAACCAATTAACATCAATTAACTTTTATAAAAGGATATTTAAGGTGCAGATAGAGTAAGAACTGAAGTCACAAAACTTTTCTTCCCAATACCTAGAGACACATTCTCCTCAATCCCCAGGGCAGGTGGGCTCAGACTTAAAGCAATTTCTACAGAACATTTGTCCTAAGGATTTCACTTCCAAATGCTGGATGAGTCTTTGTGTTAACTACAGTCTGTCTGGTTCCTTCAGTCATTCTCAAGAGCCTCTAGGTTGGGCTGGATCCTGAAGGTTATTTCTTAGGGCCTCACTGCTGCGTTGGATGGCTGCAAAACCTGACATTGACTCTAGCTTCCAGGCCTCATCATCTTAGTATCTGATAAACCTATAGAAATGAAAAACTGGAGAAAGAAGTAATTACTTAATAAATTTACATGGGAAAATTGGACTTCGACCATATTTCCCACAACATGCCTCAGTGAATTCTAGTTGGATAATAAAATGAAAAACAAAAAATATACTAAAAATGAACAATAAAATATTATGAGAGATGACCTTTTTTTCCTATTAGGGATATGGAAGGAATTATGAGAGAAGGTAGATGTGCTTGGATTGTATTAAAATTTTAAAAAATTTGTACAACAAAAACCCAGTATAACTGAAAGAAAATTAAGAGTTTGGGAAAATACTCACGGCAAATAGAACAGATAAAAACCTGACATCTGAAATATATATATGTAATATATAAATATATATATATCTATATATATATATATATATATTTTATATGGAATCCCAGTTCTGCCACCCACTTATCTTGAGCAAGTTTCATCACCTGCAAAACAAAAGGACTGGATTATAGGATCTCAATTCTTTTCCAACTCTTAAGTCTGTGATATTGTGATCCTCTGTAGGAGAGTAGGAAACTAGTGGATAAAGTGCTGGGCCTGGAGGCAGGAAGACCCAAGTTCAGATCAGGCCCTGTGTGTGATCCTGGGCAAGGTAACTGTAAAATGGGAGAAATGGTGCCTACCTTTCGGGATTGTTGTGAAGACCAAATGAGATCATAATTACAAAGCTCTTAGCATAGTGGCATGGTACATAGCAAGTGCTATATAAATGTTAGCTATTGTTAAAGCTGGAGACATAGGTTGGAGTCATTGTAGAGGGTCTCAAATTCCTAGCTATAGAATTTAGATTTAATTCTGTGGGAACTGGGGATGCACTGATGATGCTGAGCATGGGATTGCCTGATTATAATGCTGTTTGAGGAAGATTAATGTGACGGTGGATTGGCAGGAGAAGAGACCGGAGGCAGGGAGACCACTCGAGAAGGCTACGCTTTCATCTGCTATCTGTCAATACCACCCTCATTGTGGGCTTTGTAGACTGGGCCAGAAGTGAAGCAGTCAAGTTGACCAGATTTGCCACCTGGGAAAACTTGCAGGGATAGGCCTCAAATCCCGCCTTTGGCACTTCTAGGACACTGGTCATTCCTTTGGTCTTTCTGTGCGTTGTTGTTTCTTCATCAACAAAATGGGAATAGCTAACCTTTGGTGGAATACTCATGTGCCTGTCAGGCCATGGGGATCGTGTCCCTGATAGCAACTTTTTCTTTGGTTTCTGTAGCGCTGTCTGACACTGATGGACAGAGGATTTGTTTTCAACCTGATCAATGACTATATGTCTGGCTTCAGCCCCAAAGATCCCAAGGTGAGTTATAACTGTATACAGTTAGACAAGACATTTGCTTTCTGTTGGAACTGGGCATAAAAAAGTTTTTTATATTTGGTGTACATGAAGATGAAACAAATAGGTTAATAGTGGCAGCTGCTTCTCCGTTACTGAGCTTTATAAAGTCTAGGGTGATTTCAAATTTACAAAAATCTGGAAAAACAGCTATAGCTTAGGAAAGAATTTTGGGAGATGATTTACAGCCCTAAGAAAAGGGAAATAGGAAAAAGTCCTAGTCCTTCACTCCTCTGGACACTGAACAGCCAGACAGATCAGAGGCTGCCAAACTCAGGGGGCCCATCTTCTCTGTACACATGGTCCAGTACCAACCTGCTTTGTAACTTAGGTCAAGGAGCAAAGCTCTTCCTTACTGTTCTTCTCATATTTTCAAGGGTTCATGGTATTTAAGCTCCTCTGGTGCAGATCCCCAGCTAAGATGAGAGCAGATCATGACCGAGGGCTTGGGAGATGGTACAGCAGGAGACCAAGCGTCCCATGCAGTTTCAGAAGGCTTTCAGACTACAGTATGAAGCAAGGGCCACCCTCCTTCCTCCCTCCCCCCTGAACTCTCAAGGATCATTCCCACCCATGTTTATTATTCTAAATAATTCTGTTGCAAAAATGAATGCTCACCATTAAAAGAGAAAAGCATTAAGTCTATGCCAAATTGCATTTATATGGACACATGGCTAATTTTTTTTTCCTACCCAGGTTCTGGCTGAGTACAAGTTTGAATTTCTGCAGACAGTTTGTAATCATGAACATTACATTCCTCTAAATTTGCCGATGGCATTTGCAAAACCCAAACTTCAGAGAGTTCAAGGTACATTCTTTATCTTCTGGGACTCCTTGAACAGAATGCTGGGGGGTTCAGTGGGTGGGCCAGATGTGCTGCAGTCTGGGCAATACTCTCTGAGGGGATTGACATCAGCCTCTTTTTTCTTGACAGCATTAGAATATATTGTGTGGAGAAGTCACGTTTTAGTCAGTTCAGTCATTTTTCAGTTGTGTCTGAGTCTCTGTGCCCCCATTTGGGGTTTTCTTGGCAGAGATACTGGAGTGGTTTGCCATCTCCTTCTCCAGCTCATTTTTTTTTACAGATGAGGAAACTGAGGCAAACAGGGTTAAGTGACTTGACATGGGTCACATAGCTAGTATGTATCTGAGGCCGGATTTGAACTCAGGAAGATCTTTGAACTCAGTCAGTCTTCCTGACTCCAGGCCTGGCCCTCTATCCACTGTACCAGATTCACTACCTGAAATACTGTTTTGTGGTACAGATTATAGGTAGGTATAGGAGAATTTGGGATGCATATATTAAACTTGCAAATGCGTGACTGCTGACAAAACCAGAGAAATTCAGCCCAAGCTACTGCAGAATGGGAATGCTTTTGCTATGCATGCTTTATTATGAACCAATGTTCTTTTGTTGCTGTGTTTTTTATTTGTCCCTTTTCTTTTCACATGGTAATTAGATTTTTTTTCATTTGCTGTGGACCGTTTGACTTCAGTAGGTAGGTTTAACTGGGTTCCTTCTAACTTAATCTGCTTACTTTAAAAAAAAAAGGCACCACATAGTCTCTTGATTTGACTGTATAACTCAAGAGAACAAGCTTTTCTTGGTTTGCTTTTTAAATCCCTTTTTAAAAAAAGGTCAAAACTAACATTCTCATAGAACTTTGGAGGAGACCTCCTTTAATGTCACCAGCAGAAGAGAGTGTTTTATGGCCTTAGAAACCTGTCCCTTCTTGGGGTAGGATGGCTTTCAGGGTGGGGGGATGGGTTTGCAGCTGGCTTTCAGGTAAGGAGGAGAATTCTCCTCCCTACTGTGCGCCACTTTGCAGTGCTCACTTGGTCAAGCTGCCTTCTTGTAGCCAATCTAATAAAAAGCCAACAAAGCCCCAGCTGATTGGCCAGAGCCCAAGAAGAGGGATTCATTCTCATTTGATGAGGCTCTCTGGGTACCTGAACACACACCAGATTGTTTGCAGAAAGGAGAGGATGAACTCCCTTGCCACTGATTCGGATGAACACAGATGATCTCAAGAATAACCCTGAAGAACACTAGTCATGACAGCAAGAGGTTATCTGAGTTAGAGGCATAGAACTAAAAGCAGAAATGGACCAGAAAAATGATCGAAGGCCTGAGGACCCCAACTCCTCCCTTGTTCTCCTCCACATGTTAACAGGAGTCAAGAGCAAGTCAGAGAAAGTGATGGGATGAGGACAGGGTATCAATCTTCGTTCTGGGGTTCAAATTGAATGCTTCACAAACATTTATTGAGCACCTACTGAATACAGAACAAGATATGAAGTAATTATTATGGGGAATGCTCAAAAACAGAAAACATAGGGCTTGTAATGACACTCCAAGGGCCTGAGTTTTAGTATAGTACTAAGTGTAGAAACAAGGGTGCTCAAAATACATTTGAGGAAATAGTAGGATAGATAATATTCCCCTGAGGAGAATTTATTTGTGGGGAGTCACTCAGACCAAACTCAACCAGAGAATTTGAGGTTAGGAATTAGGCTGCCATAGAGATCAGAGAGGGTGCTGTGGTGATGGGAAAATGAGATTGAGGTGAAGATTTCTGAAAGGAAATTTAAAAGAAGGTTTCTGTGCATTTTATAGATTCTTATTACTATGGTGATAAAGGAGATTGAGAAGGAGATTTAAACCTTAATATTTAGCTAAAAAAAAAGATGTTTAAGCTTGCTTTCACTGCCATACATGGAGCTCTTTTCCTATAATTTTCTAGGCTAAGATTTTAAGTCAAAAAGAATATAGGATACAATTCACTGATTTAACTCATCATTAGGCCCATCAATCTAAACCCTATTCCAAGAACCATCCTGGATTTTGTGGAAATATACATGTTTTTTTTGTGAGAGAAGGGAATTGTTCTGATGAACTCATAAAATGATAAAATCATAGTTATATTTCTATAGCATGGTGATGTACTAATGTGAGATAAGATGTTATTTTAATTTATTTAAAACAATTTTAAAGTGAGTTTTGTAAACATATTTTGTAATTTCGTGTTTTCTGCAGATTCCAACCTGGAATCCAGTTTATCAGATGAGTATTGCAAACATCACTTTTTGGTTGGCCTACTTCTGAGGGAAACGTCTGTTGCTCTGCAAGACAACTATGAGATCCGCTACTTGGCTATCACTGTTATAAAGCATCTTTTGATAAAGCATGCATTTGATACTCGATACCAGCACAAGGTGAGGGCAGAGTGGCTAGTTCTACATGATCAGTCTCCATGTATGACACCAGTGAGGTTCTTCAGTACTATTGGCATCTTCATCAGGGCAGACAATTTGAGTATTTAAGGCCATTTTTTACAAAGAAACTTCAGCTGTTTCAATTTCCAGATGATGGTTTCTTTGTTTAAAGGCAATTATGGCTACCATTAATGTATAAAGACACACTATGTGCAGATTTCAAGGAACCATGATTTTGTAGGTGGGGACACGGTCTATACAGCTTCAGATCCTATTCACAGCCCTGCTCTACCTTAGGAAACAGGTTGCTTGGGCTATTTATCTAGAAAGACATATATATATATATATATATATATCTGTGTAGATACCTGGATCTATAGCTATCTGTCCATCAGCTGCTAACTCACTTTCTGGTGAGGGGACTCCCTGGATGTAGCCAGGGTGGGCTTCAGGTGACAGACCTACCACCTGTGTCACCTCTGCTCTGGGATGAGGCATTGGGAGACTTGAGTAAAGAATACGTATACACACACACACACACACACAATACAGCTTTCTTCCTTCTTTAAAAATGACTCTCTTGCCCATAGAGACAAATGCATCAGTAATTGAAATTATCCTTTCATCTTTTCCATATTATGTACATATGGTTGTAGCGGTTTTTTGCTTAGTTTTTAACTTATATTTAAACCATGCTTAAGTAAATCATCTTCTGCCACCTCCAGTCAACATAAAGGTTCACAGAAGGACCATACTCAGTGAAGGTCCCATTACCGTTAGCAATGAGCCCAAACACAATAGCAAGGCAGTAGGAGTCAGCAGAAAATTTTAGATTGGAAAGCTAGCTAGCTCTCTGTTGAAGCCATACTCATTTGAAAACCCTATGAACTGGAAAAGTACATTAAACAACCTGGACACTGCAGGATTCCTCTTACTAAACAGCAGTATAGTACTTCAAGCCACAATCACCACGTGTTTGTACCCCTACTCAGCCAGGCCAAGTCTTAGCAGGGAGCCACGGGGAGACTTTTGAAGACCCTGTAACAAGAAGTTATACATCACAACCTTACAGAGCCAGTAAGGTTTTGCCTTTAATCAAGTCAGAAGTTGTTGTAAACTACAGGCACGTTCCAACAGGAGAGATGACTGCATTCCCCCCACCCTGCCATCAGCCTCAGTTTAGCTATTAGGTCGGAGCTGGGTTGAGCTGATATGTTGGCTTAGAAAGCTTAGGCATACTCTGCTCTTTAGGTGGTGATAATATTATTAAATAGCATATCCTTTCATGTAAAACTTCCTGCCCCCCAAATCATAAATTATGAAAGTATAAATTGGATCATACATTGGAATTTGTCATTTTTTTAAATTTATAAAATAGCTTTAGAAATGGAATTATTTCCATGGAATATTCTCATCTGTCTGTGAGAGCCAAAAAATGCTTGGTGAGTGGCATTCATTACCGATCTTTAATTGCCAAGTCACCTGATTTAAGGCTTTCAAACATTCGCTATTTGCTTTATGTTCTGCTCTAAAGAGAAATCCAGCCCCTAGCTTTCCATTTCAAGATTATCTGACAGTCACGACTGCTGTGGTTATGACCATTGTTCAGAATAGGGGAGAGGAAGCGGATCTGTGATTTCACTGGTTATAGGGAACTTCCAGGTGAGGAAACTTCCTCCATCAATGCGAGCCAGGACCTTCTCTGGAACTATAGTCACAGTTGCCTAGAGCACTGAGATGCTGAGTGACTTACCCGGGGTCACACAGCCCATATATGTCAGAGGTGAGATTTGAACCCGAGTTTTCCTGGCTTCAAGGCTAGCCCTCTCTCCACTATGCCATACTGTATCTCTATCACTAGTAACACTAGACCTAATAGTGAAACATGCTTATTGAATATAGTCCTTCTGAGTGGGCCCTGATAAGGCTTAAGGGAGCTGAGAAGATGCTTTATATAAGAAATACTAGTTAGTTCAGGGTTTAATGAAGGGGGTTTCATGTCTCCAGCAGATGTTTAAGAGAGGAGCTACCCTTGGCTAGGGCCATTAGTGACCATAAATGAAAGTGTTTGCACTTTTACAAATGTGCCTAAAGCTTTGCTGTCTGATATTTTTATCCTGGGGAGCTCAGATCCCAAGATACGTTTTCCAACAAGGCTGATCAAGGTAAAAGACAAATAGAGGACAAAAATACCTGCAGTGGTATCGAGGGACAGGTAGCATTAATACCTGCCATACAGTTAAGTGTTACAGCAGCTATTACGATATGGAGTTATGTTTAAGGGCATGTGAATTGGCCCAAGATAGAACGTGTAAACTGTCATCATAAACAAATTCTATTTACTGTAGCTTGGATATTGACCAGTCTTTAACCAGAACAGAGATGCAGCACCAAACTTTTTTTTGTAACTCTGGACTCTAATTGCTTTTCAGAACCAACAGGCCAAAATAGCCCAGCTTTACCTCCCGTTGGTCGGACTGCTTTTGGAGAACATCCAGCGGTTAGCTGGTCGAGACACGCTGTATTCTTGCACTGCCGTGCCTGGCTCTGTGAGTAGCCTCTGTTTCTGCTGCAGTTGCCTTTTTCTTCTTTAAATGTGCAGAGAAGAAATGCACATGGAGTGTGTACTTTTCAAATCAGTTTGCAAAAAGGAACAGTTACCTCATGTAAGCAGCTCAGCCACTTGGGCTTTTTCATATCATATCTGTATCTTCACTCTGATGTAACCAGTTCATTTGTTGTGCTCTCCAGACTGGAGGTTTGCTGTTTTGTGTTCTTCACAATAACACACCGAATTGGCACACAAGGTCTGGCCAAAGGGAGAAGCTTGCCTCAGTGATAGTCATGTGTCCTTTGGCAGCTTCCTGAGCTCCTAGCAGACGGCTCTGACCAGAGTCCTTTCAACAGCTTAGGCAAATGACTCCTACATGCTCTCCTCTGAGGCATACGTGCCCCTCTCTTCCCCACTTTCTCTTTCTAGTCAAGTAGAATGGCCATAGCAAGTTAAGGGTTGGAAAAAGGACATTAGAGGTCATCTGCTTCAACCTTCCATCCAATGCTGAAATCTATTCTGCCACAGGCCCGTCAACCTTGGCTTTCATACTTCCAGGAACTGGGAGCTCATTACTTTCTTAAGTATGGGTAGCTCTAAATGTTAAGAAGTTTTCCTTTGTTTGACCTGAAATCTACCTCCCTGTAATTCTGCCACTGGATTTATTCTTCCATCTGGGTCTAAGAAACACAAGCCTACTCTTTCTTTCCCATGATAGCCCTTCATACATTTGAAGATAGCAATAAAGTCACCCCACCAAGTTGTCTCTTCTCTAGGCTAACTATCCCCAATTCTTGTAACCATTTTTCATATAGTTACTAGCAGCGTGATCCTGAGCAAGATGCTTAACCCCTGTTTGCCTCAGTTTCTTCATCTGTAAAACGGGGATAATAATAGCACCCATCTCCCAGAGTAGTTGTGAGGATCAGATGAGATAATAATCATAAAGCTCTTAGCACAGTGCCTGGCACATAAGCGCTATAGAAATGTTAGCTAGTAGTATTTTTATTATTTTCCATCCCTTCACCACCCTAGCTGCCTACCTCTAGGGACATTGCGTTTTGTCGGTGTCCTGTTTAAAGTACAGTGCCCAGCACATTCAAGACTTATATAGATACAGTTACAAATTACTCTTTAAAGAAATAAAGAATGACTTAAATAACTGGAGAGCTATTCCATGCTCAAAACTAGGCCATGCTAATGTAATAAAAATGGTAACACTACTTACATGAATTTGCAGAGTTATTACTATACCCATCACACTGTAAGGGATAAGTGAAACTTTACAGAGCTAAACAAAATAGTGGCAGAATTCATTTGTAAGAATAAAAGTTAACCATTAAGTCAACAAACATTTATTAAGTGCTTATTATGTGCCAGTTATTGTGCTTAGCATCAGGATAGAAAGGTAAAAACAGGTCCTGCTTTCAAGGAGCTCACAGTTTAAGGATTGAGACACCAAATCAATAGCCATGTACAAATGGGAGATCAGCAGAGGGAAGGCTGGAGAAAGGCTTCTAGTGGAAGATGGGATTTTAACTGGGACTTGAAGGAAACCAGCAAATAGACGTGTTGAGGAAGGTGTTCCAAACAGCAGGGCAGCCAGTGAAAAATGCCTGGAGTCAGGAGATAGAATTCAGTGCAGCATGAGGAGCCCTCCATGAACTAACTGCTACAATGCGAAATGATGCAAGCAGGACCATAAGAACAATACATATTGTTACTACAATGGTGTAAATGGAAACAATAGCAACAAATTGCCACTGTAATGACTGAATTGGACCCCAGAGAAAAGGTATGAGAAATACACGTCCTCCTTATTTGCAGATGTCAGGGATTGTAGATGTGGAACACTTTTATGTAATGTCTGACTTGATGTATTGTTTCTTTTTTAAAAATTCTTTGTTACAAGGTATGGCCCTCTGAGAGGGACAAGGAAAGGTGTTACATTGGGAAACGAAGATAATATAAAAGCAAAGACATAAGTAGAAATTTAAAATAAAATCTACAGTTATCCCTTCCACATCATGACTTTCCCCATTGCAGTTTTGATATGTCGCAGGTTGGCATAAGGAAATAAATGGGAATTTGGGGGGAGTTTTACAGAAGCCACAGATAACACACAAAGGCCAGCAGATGACACCGAAAAGAAGCTCAGAAATGCATAAAATGTATGTATAGTATTGCATAATGTCAACCCAACTTTCACAATAAGGTACTGTAAACACCCTACAAAAGAAAAAGAAAGAATTCAGACTTCTTCTTTGGTATGAAAGAGGGCCAAAACATTTTATGTAGGTTTTCCAGATCCCAAGGGTGCCACGCCTCTAATCCCCCCCCCCCCCAATGTGGAAGGGATAACTGTGTTAACTGCACACAATCCCTAGATATGGCCTGACCAGAATCCACTGAGACTCACATATTTTGTTTTGGACACTAGTGTTCTCTTAATGAGGCCCAGATTTTTAAAAGCAGCTGTTGGATCATGCTGAGCTTATACACTAAAACTGCCAGATCTTTTTCACAAGCACTGATAGGGAGCCAGCTCTGTCTTCTCCTTCCCTTCCCCACCTCAGGCCTATACTTGGATGAGTCCTTTTTTAAAACAATTTAAAGGCAAGACTTTACATATCCCTGTTAAATTTCATCTTTTCCCCTCTTTTCTTTTTCTACTTTGCTCAGTTGTTTTTCAGTCATGTCTGACTCTTTGTGACCCCTCTTGGGGGTGTTCTTGGCAAAGATACTGGAATGGTTTGCCATTTCTTTCTCCAGCTCATTTGACAGAGGAAGAAACTGAGGCCAACAGGGTTAAATGACTTGCCCAAGGTCATACAACTAGCAAGTGTCTAAGGCCAGACTAGAACTCAGGTCTTCCTGACTCCAGGCCCTGTGCTGTCCACTGCACCACCTAGTTGCCTTTTTCTACATTACTGGCCTAATTTCTCTACGTTACTTCCCCTATGACTTTCCTCCACCTGTCCCCAACAGAACGCTTCCTTGAAAAGTTCAGTAAACCAAAGGAGACCAATATATTGGCTGTGCTTCTCTCATCTTGACCTCCTAGGTGTCTGTGCCTATTGGTGCTATCACCAGGTCAAAGGGCACATATAGTCTAGTGCCCTTTTTCATATGATTAAAAATAGCTTTCCAGAATGGGTGGGCCCATTTCCAACTTCTCTACCAGGGCATTAACGAGCTTGTATTCCTCCAGCCCTTCCAGCATATGAAATGTCATCTTGTTGGCTTTGGACTAATGAGATCTGTTTAAAGGCCAATTCGGTCATCTAGCTCTCACCCTCTGCCAACTTTCTGTCATCTGCACATTTGATAAACACGCCTTCTGTATCTTTATCTAAGCTGTTGATATCAGCATTGAGCAGGAGAAGGCTGAGGATAAGAGGCCTTTGGCCCATTGCTAGAGGCGGCCTTCTAGGCTGGACTCAATCTGTGCAGACGGCTGTGAACGTCCCTTACCTCTCTGTCCTCTCACCGGCCCACATTTCTCCATCTTGTTTACAAAACTATGAAGAGAAATGTCCCAGATGGCTTTGCTAAAATGAAGATAGGCTATTTTGGTGGCATTCCCTTGATTTAGCAATAGAGAAAAAAAGGAAATGGAGTGAGTTTGGCTCCTCTTGATCAACATGTCCTCTTCTTGCCACTTTACCAAGTAACCGCTTAGGAATTATGGAGCTAGAATTTAGCTCAGCATCAACATAACACTTCCTGTGCTATTGTTTCTGGGATATTCTTTTTGGAATCTTTGAAAATCAGGGAATTTGTCTTCTGTCATTGCGCCACGATTTCTCCATTTTTGGTAATGTTATGTTTATAACATTGGTGTAGACCCATAAGTTATGAAAGCTACAAACTAGTTCCATGATCACATTTCCAAATTGTTCAGTGATGTAAGTAGTCCAGGCCTAGCGAATGAACTCATTTAAGATAGCTGAGTACTCATAAGTTGATCCATCAATGAGTATTTACTAAGGTCCTACTATGTGCCAGCCATTCAAGTACAAAGAATGAAACAATCCCTACTCACAAAGAGCTTATATCAAAAGGGAGAAACAAGAAGTACATATTAAAACATATTCAGCATAAATATAAAGTTAATAGATACAGATATGTACAAAGTAGCTAAATATAAGATACTTTGGAAGAGAAGGCACTAGCAGTTGGGGGGATCAGGAAAGGCTTCCAGCAGAAGATGGGATGGTGCCTGAGCTGCTGGGGTAAGAAAGGACAGAGCATTCCAGGCATGAGGACAGCCAGTGCAAAGGCATGGAGGTGAGAGGTGGCGTGCCATGTGCAAGGAACAAGGAGGAGGTCAGTTTGGCTGGATCACAGTCTGTGGGAGGGGAAGTAATGTCCCATGAGGATATTATTTGTCTTACTATAATTTCAGTCTTTAATTCCCTCTAAATGACGTTTGTTCTGCCATTTCAAGGTGAAAAATCATTTTCTTTCAAGATAGACCAAAACTAGAAATCAAGCAATTTAGCATTCCTTTTTTTTATCATCTGTCAACATCATACCATCTTTATCAAGCAGAAGCCATTCCCTTCCTTATTTTCTTACTTTAAACACAGTCACAAAGAAGTTGTTAGCATTTTTAGTCCTTAGCATTTTTCTTTTTAAAAAATTATGAACCTGAGAAACATTAACACAGAAGAAGAAAAAAGGACTGTGTATGATATCAAGAATTTTTGTTATATACAACTTGGTTTTCTGAAGTATTTATTACATTTAACATAGTAGTTCCAACAGTGCCCTGTTTGTCATCTGTGACCCCTTCTGAACTTCCTTCTGCTTTCTTCTGTGTAGTTTTGAAAGGTTTCATTGATACTCTTTTCTTTATTTTTTTAAATCACTATCACTACCCCTCCTCTCCTCCCTCCAAATAAAGCCTTCCCTTATAACAAGTTAGCAGAGACAAGCAAAGCAAGCCCACACTATATTCGCTATGTCTGGAAATGTATTCTTAATCTGCACCTCGAGTCCATCACTTCTCTGCCAAGATGTGGGAAGCATGATTCAGCATCTGTCTTCTGGAGTCCTGATTGGTCGCTCTGTGAATCGTGGTTCTTGAGTCTCTCATAGTTATTTTCCTTTGCAATGTTTTGGTCACTGAATTGTCTTTGGCATTTTTCACAAGCTTGAGCTCATTCTGAGCTGCTTTTTTCCTGTCACTCCTCGAAAAAGTGCGTAATACTCTTTGTATTCATCCTTACTTATGTGCCTTTTAAAAACTGAGCTTACCAGAAACCTTCTTTTGCAATCACGATGTTTTTAGATATCACTTTCCTTTTGTCCACGATGAGATTATCTGTAACTATAGTAACATTTATGGCAGATAAGATCTGAAATAACTGAGGAAAAAAGGTTCAAACTTCCAAGCATATAAATTTAGTAAGTAACACATGCCAAGTACATAACAAATCGGGACTAGGCCTGCTCAGCTTGGCACTGGACCCCAAATAGAGGGGGAGACAGATTTTTATGCATTAAGAGATCACAATTAATAAGATATAAACCAGGATACAAGATTAGGAAACCTGATTTCTAATTGGAGAAGAGATTAAGGACTTTCTGAGTTGGGAGGGGGATGAGTGAGTTCCAGGAGTTGGGAGGAGGGAAAGTGAGCAGGTGGACTTTCCTGGATATGAAACAGAATGTCACTCAATTCCCATGTGACTTGCAAGCAGGTGGAATTTACAGGAAAATGAAACTGTCTCAAAATGGAGTCAATTTTACAAGGTAGAATATTTTGTTCAGACAATTCTCTCAGGTCCTTCCCCGCCTTTGACTCATAGGGTAGGCACCAGCCTACTTCCTCCATGGATCACTTATCTATGAGCCAAATTTATAAGGATTTTAATGTGCTCACGCTCCCTGTCAACATTAAATACCAAAAAAAAGACTCTAGCACAGCTTAGTACAACAGCTAATACAAAGCCTAAGGACAATGATGATGATGCCGCCCCCTAAGGAGACAAGCCTTGTTAAATAGACTCTATAGGTAAACTAAGTCAGGCTACAGATCAAACTACTTAGAAGGCTCACATTGGGCCAATTTTGAGAGGAGTGATTTACATATCATGATGGTAACCAAGAAAATTCAGCCAACATAAACAGCATGAAACAAAGGGCCAAAGCAATACAATGGTAATCATCAATACTAAGTAACATTAAGTCTCCTTGTTTCCAGTAACCCACTTCTAACAGCCATTTAATCATTTGATCTTGAGTCCCAGATGTCCCATGTAGTCATCTAGTCCTTGGAAATATCTTCTCTTGGACATTCTGGAACAGGTTTTATTCTCAGGGCAGCTCTGAAGGGGGCTCTGCAGGGCAGCTAGGTGGCGCAGTGGATAGAGCACTGGCCCTGAAGTCAGGAGTACCTGAGTTCAAATCCGGCCTCAGACCAAACACTTGACACATACTAGCTGTGTGACCTTGGGCAAGTCACTTAACCCCAATTGCCTACCAAAAAAACCCCCAAAAAGCAAACAAAAACAAAATAAAATAAAATAAATGAAGGGGGCTCTGCTTCTCTGGTTCCAAGTCACTTGTAGAGATTCCTACATAATTCTTTTAAAATCTGCTGGTAATAAGACTTAATACAATTCAGTACATCCTACTGAATTTGATTTTCCAAACCTGAAACTTCAGATAATTTCAATTTTTATGTGCCATTTGCTGTTTCCTTCTTTACCTAAACCCTATAGCTGATAGAAAACTCTAAAAAGAAATTTATGACTTATAAAATAAACCCTTCTGTCTTTTAAAAACCATCAGATGGGTACTTTAAAATGGGAAAATGATTTCACTTCCTTTACAATTATCAATGCAATTTTATATGTAAAATCCTTAATCCAATTTTGAGAACTTATTACTAAAACATATTCAAAGCCTGAATTTTCAATTAGAAGGATTTGGAAGCCAATCATACACATATGTATATATTCTAATTCTTAGAGAAAACAGTCTTATCCCGTTGCTTTCTCAAAATTTTCTATTCCATTCAATTAGAAAACTTATACATTACATCTTTCTCTTATTACTTTGTCTAATTCCCCCCTTAGGAAGATATCATCCCTATATTACAATTTGACCACAAATACGGATTAAAACTGTAAGATTTTTCATACTTGCATCCTGTGATAGTAACCCAGTGATGTCCCAGTATTAATCTATTAATTAATATATAAATATATATTAAAATATATATAAAGAATAAGACTTCCTTCACCTGGCTATAGGTCTTTATAGCTAGCAGTCTGCTCTATTCAATACGACTTCAGCTGTCAGCTGGTACCTGCATCATTCCAGGAGCATCGGTATTAATTTAGACTCGTGGGATGAGTTGCAGCACTTTTGTTTAAGATCAAGCCAGCATCTTTCTGTGATATGGAATTCTTTTGAATATTATTTTAAATTATCATCTTAATAACCTTGTAACAGAACCAAACAAATGTACAAAACAAGGTTTAAGATCTTAGATGAAACACCTAGCAAAGTAGAATCAGTCAATCAACAAGCATCTTAAAGCACCTACTATTTTTCTATCACTATATGAGGCACTAGGGACTTGAAGACAAAAGTAAAACAGTCCCTGCCCTCAAGGCATAGGAACAGAGAAAGTACCTTAATTCTAGATCCTCTTTCAAATGTAGGTGGAGTTCTGCCACATTGGCTTGGTGTACTTTCTTTTGAACTGTCTTTCTATCTTTCTAGTTTTATTCAGTGTGTCTATGGGTGGCATTGTGCTGAGATCACTCCACATATCTTCATATAGGCCATTACATACTTCCTTACATACTTCATATTTGTCATCTTTAGCAGTGTTTAATAATATTCCAATGAACTAATATATCATAATTTATTTAGCCAGTCTCCAACTGTTGGACAATTAGGTTGTTTCCAGTTTTTGGCACGGACAAGTTCTTGATTTGGTGACATGTTTAAAATGTGTTTCAGGCATCTAGGGATGAATTTGTATGTGGCTTTTCTTCACCTTCAAATAGAGGAAGTCTGGTGGCAGAGAAAGATGCAGGTAAGGAAGCACTTTTCAACAGTGGGCATGCTCATTAGAGAAGCTTTATAACCAATGAGAATGAGAATGCCTCTTTCATTGCCTAGATATCTGCATTAAAGATGGGTTCCTTCGGTCTTGGTTATAGCAGCGAAAACAGATTGGAGGAAAAAGAGGCTAGCCTGGGAATCAAGGAGCCTGGATTTGAGGCCCGAATCCCTCCCTCACTAGATGGGGGAATCTCAGGCGAGCCCAAGCTACAAAACAAAGAAGTCAAATTCAATGCTTTTTAAGGTCCCTTCCACCTCTGACATTCTGGGACTTGTTATTCCTTCCGAGGAATTTCTTGAAATAATCCTTGTATGTGTCAGAGTATAATGAGATACAGTCACAAATGGCATGTTTTCTGCTTTGCTTTCAAATGTTTTACAAACATTTCCCGTTTCAGATTGCCAGGATTTCTCTAAAAACATATTGTTTGTGAATTAGTCCAATGCTGATTTTTGAAGTTTCTTGGCAATTTCATCCTCCTTACTGACACTGAGAAGTATGTTGTTTTTCCAGCCTATGCAGCCTCATTTCCCAATGGACACAGACTCAAAAGAGAAGATTCAAGAGGCTCCCTGAGCGCAGATGTGGCCAGCAGCTCTCCCGAGCAGAGCAGCATAGCTGACAATGTAACAAACAGGCTGGGGGAGGGGTGGACGGTGGCCTCCAAAGGTTTCTTTCCTTGAAAGCTAGGATTCCTTAATCTTTCCTAATCCTGGCTCTGGAAAGAAGTCATTTTGGTATTCCTTGCTAACCATCCAGTAGGTATCACTTGGCAGCTGGTGGTGCAGTAGAGTCAGGAAGACCTGACTTCAAATCTGGCCTCAGACACTTCCTACCTCTGTGACCCTGAGTAAGTTAAGTTCTGCCTGCCTTGGTTTCCTTAACTGTAAAATGGGGATAATGATGGCACCTACCTCCCAAGGTTGTTGTGAGGATCAAACGAGATACCTGTACAGTACTTAGCACAGTGCCTGGTGAATGGTAGACAATTAATAAATGTTTAATTCCGCCCCCCCCCCCCCCATTTTGAGGAAAAGCTTAAACTGGAGAGGGTTAATCCAAAGAATGTGGTATTGTGAAAAGTTTCAGACTTGAAGACAGGACAGACTTGTGTAAGATCTTCATGCCCTCCCCACCCTGCTGATACCAACTGTGTGATCCTGGGCAAGTCATGTAATTTTTCTGAGCCTCAGTTTCCTTATCTGTGCAATAGGTATAAAAATATCTAATACGTACCTCACAGAGTTATTTATTTTATTTTGTTTATTTATTTTTAGTTTTCAACATTCACTTTTAAAAGCTTTTGAGTTCCAAATTTTTCCTCTTCCCCCCCTTCCCCCTCCCCAATCTAATACGATCATATTAAACACATTTCCACATTAGTCATATTAAGATAATGTATGTCACATGCCTTACAAAGCTTAAAACACTAAAGAAATATCTGTTATTATTATCATCTTTCATCCTTAGCACATGAAAAGTGTTCCAGAGGGCAAATGTTCAGATTTGAAGTAAGTGTACTATCTAGTCACTGGTGGAAGGGGATCCAAGGAAGGTGGATTTTCATTTTTCACAGGCATTATTTAACTAAAATCATTCAGTAAGCATTTATTAAGTGCCTATTGTGCCAAGTACTGTGCTAACTGCTGGCCATAGAAAGACAAAATCAAAATAGCCCCTGCCCTCAAGGAGCTTATATACTAGGGGGAAGGGAGAGCATGAAAATGTACACAGCAACGCACTGTAATCCCTGATCTTTGAAGTGGGGGAGACCTCCCAGTGTGGAATCTCCCTCTACCACTGCAGATTGGCAATGCAGCCGTAATTTATAGTTGTAGAGAGTTGTAGGAACTGAAAGGTCAAATCACTTTCCTGTGGGGGCCTAGCATGTGTCAGAGGCAGGAATGGAACCTAGGTCTTCTGCCTTCTCGTCTCTATGCCTCTCACATACCATCATTACTATGGCTGAATATGTAGAACTCAGACTTTCAGCACTGTGCCCAGAACAGAGTACGTACTTAATAAATACCTGAGTGAATGAATGGGTTCTGCCATCATAAAGGTGGCCACATTTTTATTCATGTTTCTGAAAGAATTCTGAATTCTCCTTACTTGTTGATTCACTCTGATAAAAATATGAGGGCTCATTTTCCAGTAGGTCTGATTCAACTTTTTACTTTGCATTGTTGTATAATATAGTAATAAAGTTAACTGGGATAAAAAAAGAATTCAAATTATCTTCCTTTTAAAATTGCTCATCTGAACATCCCCAAATAAGTGAATCTGAATGTATCATGAAGTTCTCTTACCAAGTCTGCTCGGTTTGGGAAAGAGCACATAGGAAGGACCCAGAAAGCCTTCCCTAAGTGGGCCCTTTCTGAGCCATTACTACAGAAACCAAGTTAACCTGGGAGAATAAAAGATAAAAGAATCCAAATTGTAGCCTAACACTAGTATAATGATCTCATTTGACAAAAGAAACTGAGTTCCAGGAAGGGGAAAGGATTGGTCTGCCCAGGGCTAGTCACAGTGAGGTAGCAGGGTTTTCATTGAGGTTACTTTAGCTATACATATAGATCATTCTTATAAAGATTTTACAAAGGTGAGAAAGTGGGCATGTGGATCAGTAGTAACTGGTGTTCTCTCGGCACACTTACTGGGATATTAGCATCATCCATGGTTTGGTATTTTCTCCTCTCTGACTGCCTTGTTGTCCTTAACATGAATTACCCCAGTCTATACTTGATCTGGCCCAGACCCTTTTCCCAATTTCTTTATAAGGGTTGTTTCTATTTCTTCATATAGCACAGAGATTCTTTTTTTCCACTTTGAAAACTTTATTTGAAAAAATTAATTAATTGGTTTTTAGTAAATAGTTTTTAAAAATTTTTTCCACTTACACGTAAAAAGAGTTTTCAGCATTCATTTCTCTTTTTTTTTGTTTCAACATTCATTTCTTATAAGATTTTGAGTTTTAAATTTTTCTTCCTCCCAATCTCCCCCCCCCCCAGACAGCAAGCACTCTGATATAGATTATACACATAGCATAGAGATTCTTAACCTTTTTTATATCATGGACCCTCTCGGGCAGTCTGGAGAAGCCTACTGACCCCTCATTATAATAATTTTTAAATGCATAAAATAAAATACATGAGATTACAAAGGAAACCAATTATATTGAAATATAGTTGGAGATTGAGGTATTAGGACCCAAATATGATGGTTCTTCCATTACTGATGACAAAAATAGATCATTATAAAAGCATTAAACATGGTCCATTTTACATTTAGATGCGATCCTGTCAGTTTCATCATAAATGTTCTTTGTACAATATAGCTTATTTGAGTAGCATGTAAAACTTTCTGTAGACTTGTTTTCTCTATTAATGCTTTTTGCTGTTTTAAAAAGTGATGTGATCTTTGGTCCTCTTCCTTGGTGGTTTTTACAGATGAGTTTGCATTCTAAAAGTAAGGTTGCCCTTGGCTGCCATTTCTCTCCACTGGGCAAGGACCTCAGGTGTTTGGTGGCCCAGTGGTTTTTGAAAACATCAATTCAATTTTTGCAGGAAATAGTGATAAGCAAGGTCAATATATTTGTTTCTTTATATTTCCTGTCAATGGTTTGTTTGAATAGATAAGGTTGTTTTTCCTAGTACCAGCTTCTCATCCTTAATCTTTCTGATTTGATGTTGTTTCTGATCTTTGCTTCAACCAGTCAATGGTCTGATTGCACATAGAAAGCTGATTGTGATAGGATTTCCGTATCAATTGTTTCCTGAATGTCAAGTTATAATCAATTTCATTTCTGTGACACTTTTTGATGCTTGCCTTGCCTAGGGCAAATATTATCTTATTTGATCCTCACAACAACCCTGAGAGGTAGGTGCTGTTATTGTCCCCATTATATAGTTGAGGAAACTGAAGCAGACGGATAAAATGACTTCCCCAAGGTCACACAGCCAGTAAGTGTCTGAGACAGGATTTGAACTTGGGTTTTCCTGACACCAGGCTCATTGCTCTCTCCACTGCGTCACCACCTAGCTGCCTCTTAGTATATTGCTGGAACCATATTCAGAGACTTTCTGCTACATGGAATCTGCCAAAGCTTATGCTCCACCACTGGCATAGCCCTCTAGAACCTATGGTTACCTCCAAATGATGATGAGGCATCAGAATTGGCCTTTGTAGACATGTTATTTACCTATGATTTTTCAGAGTGGCATCTTGCTATCCACTCCTAAGAAAAATTTCCATTGATTTTACTATGAGTTTTGGTCCATTTGCTTTTAGATGATGGTGAAATTTAATGATGTGTGTAGATTCTTCCTTTGTGTCAGTCTTTTATTTTCGCACAAACAGGATTCGCGAGAAAAAGATTTAAATCTTTGTTGAATGAAATATTCAGTCCAACAGACTTGTGTTGTTCCTATTAAAATTAACAACCTGCAAAGCAGCACCTTTGAGTTGATGAGAGGCGTGTTGTTTTTGTTACAGACAAGAAGTTCTACGCGAAGTAGTATATCCCAGTACAACAGGCTGGACCAGTATGAAATTAAAAGCCTCCTGATGTGCTATCTGTACATTATCAAAATGATTTCTGAAGGTAAGTTACGGCCTACATAAGACATGATTGATCCCCAATGTGCTAGGAATAATAAGTCAGTCAGTCAACAAGTATTTGTTAACCCTTCCTCCAGACTATATGATGATTGCACACATTAGTGTTTATTATTTTCAAAAACCCAAAACTGCAATTTTAAAATGTTGAATTCAGCTTTGAATATCTTAGTTTTCCTAGTTTAACAGCCATGTTACTAATGAATCCCTCAAATGGGAAAATTTGTGGGAATAACAATGGTTTTGCCCTGGGGGACAGGTTCATTCTAATGCACGGGATGAGGTCTAGTATGAAATGAGGAGAAAGCTATTATCTGTACTTAGCATGTAACACACTTGAGGCAAAGGCACATATTTTCAGTAAGTGACATCATAACTTGAAAACTCTTTGGGATTTCCCTTATGTGTATGTCATAGTCTAGCTTATATAGCTGGTGGTTGCAATTTAGTTCATTTAAGCGATGTTTGCTGAGTGCCTACTATGTGCAAGGTCCTTCCTTTAGCTGCGCGAGATCTGCAAGATTCGAATAATCTGGTCTCTGAGCTAGTCCCTGAATTTGATGGTTCCTTCTCCTGGATTTGCTCAGGGGAGCTTCTCGCCATGCCGGGATCACACTGTTCCCTCATCTCCACTGCACAGATTCCTTATCTGCCTTCAAGGCTCAGCTCAGGTGCCCCCTGTTCTTGGTAGCCTTTCCCAATTTCCCAAACTGTTGGTGTTCTTTGCTTCTACACAATATCCCAGAGCACTTTTTTCTGATCTCTTTTGTCCCTTTTACTTCTTATATGTTTTTTTCCACCCAGTAAAATGTAAGTCTCTCAAGAGCAAATAATACTTTGCTTTTGTCTTTGAATCCCCAGTATCTAGTGTGGTGCCTTGCTCATAGAAGTACTTCAAAACGTTTGTTGCATTGAGGCCGGTGACAAACAGTGTGGTGCAGCGGTGGCCGCACTGAGTGGGGAGAATGGGGGGAGGAGGGGAACCAGAGACTCCAGTTTGCTGCACAGTGAGAAACTTGTCATCATCAATATCACTAAGCAGGATTTCTCAAGTGTTTGCATGTTAGCTTTGCCCTGGGGCTCAAAGATGGAAGACCTGGCTCTACCTTTATGGAGAAATAAGACGGACAAATTCTGTTTCTTCCTTTGAAGTAAAAATACAAGAGCTTTTCACTACCAGTTATCCAAGGTCGGGGCAGGGGGTGGGGGGAAGTAGGAGCAATAAGATGTGGGAAAAAAAACCAATATGTTAATCAGTAAAGAAATAAGACCTATTAAGTTAAGAAAGTTGAGGCTTAAGGTGTGACATTTTTGCTGTTTATTCCATTTTTAGATACTCTCCTAACTTATTGGAACAAAGTGTCTCCTCAGGAGCTCCTCAATATTCTAGTACTTCTCGAGTGAGTAGTCATTGTTACGTATGTGTTACTTCTGCAACTTTTTTCTGTGCTACTTCTGTACTAACAACTTTTTTCCTGCTGCCGCCTATGTTGGAAGCCACAATTTAAAATGTTGTGGTTTTTACATATAGAAACATGGTGAATATGAAACCTCAGCAATAACCCTCCATCTTCACAATCCAATTGGAGTCCTATGTGATCTGTCTAGAAAGCCTAAAGGGCTTCAGGCCACTTATGAGTTTGGAGCAGCTAGCTGTGGGGTTAGCCAGCAACTCATTCCTGGAATTGAATATCTTTGCTATTACATAAGATCTCAGTAATTCTACAAAGTTCAGAAGCTCATTTGGGAGTACGTTCCAGGCCTTCTGGAGAAGGGTGATCTGGAAGTGGTCAGTTGTCCTATACTGCTAAATTTGCATCTGTTTTGAAAGCAAATAAGTTTACTGTGACATCTAAGGTTTAGCATTTCATGGATGACACATATATAGTTTCTGTTGCTGAGGATTTCCCAAAAAAAAGAAAGGATCCCTGCCTTATACACCTTTGATTAAAGATCATTGAAAAATATTTAGAAAACATTGTCGCAATGGAACAGTTAGCAAGTTAGCAAGAATATTTACAAACTACTGTGATTAAGTAAGCTTAATCAGGATTCAACAGTATTTTTCAAATATTAACTGTATAACTAGCATTGGAACAGTACAAAAGGGCTATGTCTTGTGCCTATAAGACTTTTTATTATAGCAAGTCATTGTAGGCAAAGGAAGCCTAGTAACCTTATGGGCCATTTACGTGTGTGCACATGCGAGTGCTGGCATGCGTATGGGCCAAAAGGGATACTAAACATGTCTAGGGTGATAGGATTTAGATGTGTTTTTTTTTTCACATGCTCAGGTTCACACAGCTAATGTGGTTTTAAAAATAATTTGCCAAATTGCATTTTCCTGAATACTACTAATATACTATTGTTTTTTTTCTTTCTAGAGTGTGCTTGTTTCACTTCAGATACACAGGGAAAAGAAACATAGCAAGGTAGAATATCTCCTATTATAAAATGCCTCTGCCATGTTTTTCATCCTTTTTATAGATTTATTTTATTCCAGTAGAGGGCAGTCTTGATTTAAAAATTTTGTCTTAGAAAACTAGTTATTAACTTGCATAGGCAGAGACCACCCAGTGGATCTATGTTAGCAGAATTCAGTATTAAGAGCCATTAGAACAAATAATATTTTTTTCCAAAGGGTAGGCTGTGAGATTATAGCCTGTGAAATCTCAGTCACATTAGATTTGCTGCTACTCTTCTCTGGAAGATGAGTGAAGAGGGTCAGATCAAGGGAGAAAGTAGAAATGTCTAAGATGATAACAAAAGGAAAGGTGGTACTTCTGTCTACATTTTGTTAGTTTTATTCACCATGTGGGAAAACTCTCCTGGGATGAAGATGTGGGCGATCTGGTACCTTATCCTTTCATTTTTGCTACCAAAGCCCCAGCGACTTCAATAGCTATTTTATAAAGGTGGGGGGGGGGAAGACTACCTATTTGTTTTAACAAGATATATTTGAAAGTAGAATTGTTTTGTGTGCATTTAAAATTATTTAATACTGATTGTAGTATTAAAATAAAGAGTTTAACATATTTATAATTTTTTTCTGTTTTGTCTAAAGAATGATAGGCTATCTAGTTGTTACAGTTTTTAGCCTTTGTCTGGAGAATGTACCGATGTGGTAAAGGATAGAACTAACAGCCACCTTATTAGGTCAACCATGTTGTATAAGAATTTTTCTGGATGTTAGTTGTTAGGTTATTAAGGAAAAACTTTAAAAAAAACAAGCAAATTAATTATTAAGGACTACCAAGGACTAAAGGGAGGGGGTAGTTTAGGTGGTGTTTGTGTATATAGCTCTTTGATGTCCTGTTATTAATGAATCACTCAAGTCAGAAGCGATTCCACTTTCTTGGGGAATGGCTTATATTCTTATAGATTTGACTCAGTTCTCTATATATTTGAGAAATGAGGCTTTTATCAGAGAAACCTACTGTAAAAATTTTTTTCCCCAGTTTTCTGCTTTCCTTCTAATCTTGGCTGCATTGGTTTTGTTTGTGTAAAACCTTTTTAATTTAATGTAATAAAAATTATCCATTTTATTTCCCATAATGCTTTCTTTCTTTTGTTTGGTCATTAAACTCTTTCTTTATCCGTAGATCTGACAGGTAAATTTCTCTATGCTCCCCTAACTTGCTTATATCACCTTTCATGTCTAAATCATGTACCCATTTTGACCTTATCCTGGTATGCGGTGTGAGATGTTGGTCTAACTGTTTTCCACTTTCCCCAGCAATTTTCTTACATAGTGAGTTCTTGTCCCAAAAGCTTGTATCTGAGTTTATCAAACACTAGATTACATGTAGCACAGCACTATGCTGCAGCAGGAATGTCCTAGCTACTATTGGATAGAAACCTTAGATGATTCATCTAACATTATAGAGTATTGTTAGCTCATTTCACCTCTTATATCTGGTCTTTATTTCAGAGTACATGATGCCTGGTTATCCAAACACTTTGGAATAGACAGAAAGTCCCAGACCATGCCAGCCCTTCGTAACCGGGCAGGGGTGATGCAGGCCCGGCTTCAGCATCTAAGTAGCCTGGAAAGCTCATTCACACTTAATCACAGTAAGTGTAAGAAGCACATGGAATGATTCGTTAGACTCAACTCTCATTTAAAGAATCCTGACTTTTAAATGATCCAGAAGGAATACAGTGAATGATTAGTTCCATGTGTCCACATGTCTATGGAAATCCTTGCTCCTTACTTTTGTTTTTTGAACTTGACTGTGATTTCATCAGTTATCTCAGGTGAGGAAACATTCTCTGCCAATGCACATCAGCAAGGGCTACCTGGGGCACTGAGCAGTCAAATGACTTGTCCAGGGGCATTTAGCTGGAATATATCAGAAGTGGAACTTGAACTTAGGTTTTCCTGACTCTCAGGGCTCTCTAGCCAGTATTCCATGATTACTCTCACAGGTGACTGTATAGACCCATATGTGTATTTTTCGCATTCAACAATTGTGGGCCTTGTGGATAGAGCACCGGCCCTGGAGTCAGGGGGACCTGAGTTCAAATCCAGCGCCGGGTACATAACACTTACTAGCTGTGTGACCGTGGGCAAGTCACTTAATCCCATTGCCTAGCCAAAAAAAAAAAAAGAATCTCAGAACTGTTTTGGGGCAGCTAGGTGGTGCAGTAGATAGAGCTCTGGCCTTGGAATCAGGAGGACCTGCATTCAAATCCAGCCTCAGACACTTGACACTTACTAGCTGTGTGACCCTAGGCAAGTCACTTAACCCTGATTGCCTCACCAAAAACAAAAATAACAACAGCAACAACAACAAAAAACAATTGTGGGCTTCCATAGTCTTTCCTACTTAAATATTAATGAATTAGGTTCCTTTTTTTTACATTTTCCCCTTGATGAATTTTGCAACAAGGTTAATTTTTCATTGCCCAGATTTCATTCCTACTATTAAAATCAAATATAACTAATAGTATGACTTAATATAGTACTGAATGACAGCATCCAAAGTTTGAAGGGACCTCAGAAAGTCCAGCCCATATCTGCACTAGAATCCCCATTACAATATACACAACAAGTGGTCATTGGGCCTTTGCTTGAAGCTCTCCAGTGAGGGGGAGCCCATTCCTTTCTGAGGCAGCCCCATCAGCTTTAGGATGGCCCTAATTATCAGGAGTGGTTCCTTACATCAAGCCAAAATTTGCCTCTTTTGCAACTTCTACTCATTGTCCCTAATTCTGCCTTCCAGGGCTAGGCAATAGTATACTCTGTTCAGATTCAGAGGGGTATTGGGTCCCCCTCCATGTTCTTTCCAGGCTAAACATTCCCAGTCTCTTCAACCAGTTCTCTCATGGCATGATGTCAAAGCCCTTTACCATCTGATTGCCTTCTAGAAAGGCAGGACCCAGAATTGGATACACAATTGTAGATGTGGCCTGACCAAGGACGAGCACACTTCTCTAGGCTTCTCTTAATGCAGCGTGAGACTGAATTGCTTTTTTGGCTTCCACATCACATTACTGACTCATATTGAGCTGGCAGTCCACTAAAATCCTTAGTAATTTCGAAACTGAGGTTTGGAACCCAAGCGTAAGATTTTACATTTATCTTTATGAAATTTTACCAAATTTTATGTTAGCCAATGTTCTAGCTTGCTAAGATCTGTTTGGATACTTATTCTTTTGTCCAAGTTATTAGTGATCTATACAATGTCAAAGAGCCAGGGCAGTAAGCATTTATTAAGTGCCTGCTATGTACCAGGCAATAAGGACACAAAGAAAGGCAAAAACAGTCCCTATCCTCAAAGAGCTCACAATTTAATGGGACAGGTAACATGTAAACAATATCCACTACATATATATATACATACATATGCAAATATAATATATATGCATAAATATAAAACATATATACACAAACATAATACATACACATATATAAAACATATACAAACATAATACATACACAATGTATATGATATATATATATATATAATACACACACATATAGTATAAACTATATACAAACATGATAAATACAGGATCACTTGGAGACCAGTTTGTGTCACTTGCAGATTTGATAAGCATGCCATTAAGGCCTTTACCCAAAACACTGATCAAAATGTTAACTAGGACAGGGGAAAAGTCCAGATGTCTGCGGAGCTCCCCTACATGCCTCTTTCCAAGTGAACACAGAACCATTCTTTGGATCAGAGCATTCATCCATATTTAAATCCACTGAACTACATCATTGTCTAATTCCCAGGAATAACATGAGAGGTGTCAGATGCTTTGCTGAAATCTAGAGAAACTCATTCCATAGCACTGAGAGGCAGTGTTGCATAGCAGAGAGTGTGCTGGACTTGGAGTCAGGGAGATCTGGATGCAAATTCATCCCTTCCCAGACACTTAGAGCTTAACCTGTGTGACACTGAGCGAGTTGCTTGACATTAGTTTCTTCATCTGTAAAATGGATTTGAAATAGAATTTAAATATAAGCAAATAGCACCTCACAGGGTTGTAATAAGGATCAAATGAGCTAGTGCACATAGAACACATTGTATACCTTAAAACTCTTTATACATACATATATTATTATATAAAACTCTTTATACATGCATATATGTATATATATATATATTATTATTATTATCATTCCCCTGATTTACTAGTCTACTGATGGAAATAAGGTTAGTCTGACCACACCTCTTTTTAAAGTCATGCTGGATCTTTGTGATCACCATTTCCTTTGCTAGATGTTTACTCAACAAGCCAAGTAAACAAGCATTTATTAAGTACCTAGTATATGCCAGGACACTGTGCTAAGAGTTGAGAGTAGAAAAGGGCAAAAAACAGTTTCTGCTTTTAAGAAGCTCACAGTGTAACAGGGAACACAACATGCAAATATCTATGTACAAACAAGCTATATTATAGGATAAATTGGAGATAATCAACAAAGGAAAGGGATTAGCATTAAGTGAGAAGGTGAGATTTTAGCTGAGACTTTAGGGAAGCCATAAGATAGAAATGAGGAAGGAGAGAATTCCAGGTATGGGGGATAGCCCATGAGAATGCACAGAGTCAGAAGATGGACTGTCTTGTGGGAGGAACAGCAAGGAGTCCAGGGGCAGTGAATCACAGAGTATGTGAAGAAGAGTAAGGTAGAAGAAGACTGGAAAAGTAGGGATTGAGTTATGAAGGGCTTTAAAGGCCAATCAGAATTTCATATTTTATCCTGAAGGCTATAGGGAGCCATTGGAGTTTATTTTACATCAGCAGGTAGGGAGGGATGGGGTTGGGGGGGAGACAGTTCCATGGTCAGAACTGTGCTTTAGGAAGACATGACCCTGAGAGCTGAATAGAGGATAGATTGGAGTGGGGAGAGACTTTGGGCAGGAGGACCGATCAGAAGCCTATTGCAATAGTTCAGGCATGAGGTGTGATGAGTCTGCACCAGACAGGAGAAAAGCCAGTGTATGTGTTCCAAAAGTAGAATCACCAAGACTTGGAAACTGATTAGATGTGAGGAGGGAAAGGAAAGCATTCATATAGCACCTACTATGTACTGAGAACTTTTACAGATATTCTTTCGTTTGATCTTCACAACAACCCTGTGAGGTGAATGTTAGTATTATCCCCGTTTTACAAATAGAGGTCCAGACTTGTCCAGGGTCATACAACTAGGAAGTGTCTGAGGTCATCTGAATTCAGATCTTCCTGCATTCTATCCACTGCAGCACCACTTAGCAGTGTTGAAGATGACATTCAGGTTGTGGGCCTGGGTGACTGGGAGGGTGGTGGTGCCCTTGGTAGTAATAGAAATGTTAGAAAGAGGGGAATGTTTGGGGAGAAAGATAATGAACTCAGTTTTGGACGTATCGAATTGAAGATGTATATGGAACATCTAGTTCAAGATGTCCAATAGGTAGATGGTCAGGAAAGAGGTTAAGGTTGGATAAATAGATTTGAGAATCATCTGTACAGAGATGATAATTGAATCGATGGGAGCTGATGAGATCACTAGGCAAAACGGTATAAGAGAAGAGAAGTTCAGGGCCCAACATGGGGCTTCTGGGGACACCCACCATTAGCAGGTAAGACCCAGATAAAGATTTAGCAAAAAATACCGAGAAGGAACCATCAGAGAGGTAGTAGGAGAATCAGGGGAGAATGACCTAACAAAAATCTAGAGAGAAGAAAATGTCAAGGAAAGGGAATGGCCAGCGGTGTCATAGTCTACAGAGAAGTTAGGAAGGATAAGGATTTTGAGGAAAGGGGCATTAGATTTGGCAATTAAGAGAGCACTGGTAACTTTGGAGATGGCAGTTTTGGATGAGTGATGAGGTTAGTAGTCAGAATGCAAAGAATTAAGAAAGTGAGTGGAAAGGAAGTGGAGACACCAATTCTCAAGAGGTTTAGCCATGAAAAGCAGGTCTGGTGATGAGCAGATCAAGTGAAGGTTTTTGGAGGATTGGGAAATCAGGGGAGTGTTTGTAGGCATAGGAGAAATTGGAGATTAGTGAGGGAGTGGGGATGATAGAAGGATTGATCTACTGGAGAATGGGATGGCTTGTGCATGTGCGGGCTGGGGGGGAGGGTGTTACCTTGGCAAGGAAAAGGGCCACCTCTGCAGGTGAAACAGGATTGAAAGAAGAGATAGTAGAAGAAGGCATCTGAGGGATGTGAGGTGAAGAAAACAACTCACAGTGAAAGGCCTTACTTTTTTTCAGCAGAATATGAGCTATGGGAGGCTTGAGGAGTGATGAAAAGGTTTGGAAAAGTCTGTGGTGAGTGGGATTGTGAATTGATTAGGAAGATGCTAAAGGGTTGCCCTGCCACAATGAGGGCCTGTTTTGAGATTATGTAACAAATTTGTAGTGGACCCAGTTAGCACAGTTTTGTGACTTTCTTCAGCTTTGTTCAACAGTACACAAACAGAAGCCAAGGCAGTGGATGATGGGAGTAATCCAAGGTTGAGGCTTGGCAGGTAACAGGATAAGGGAGCAAGGAACTGCAGTGTAATAAGATTGTGTCGAGTTGGACTGGTTCACCAAGGAATCAGTACGGGGAAGGGAAGAGAGTGTAGCCAGTACAGGGGTGATAGCCAGGGAAAGAACTGAGGGGTGGAGGGACTGGACATCACAGTGAGGATGAAGAACAGGGTCAGGGGTCATAAAGCAGTGGGAAAGATGGAATGGTAAAAAATTATGACCAGATGAAGGAATTTCAGAGTTCTTGCACATGGAACACTTGTGGGTGATGGCAAAATCAAGGGTCTGACCATCTCTGTATGTAGCTGAGGTAGAGTAGAGGAGGAGGTCATGGGATATGAGTACTTTAGTGACCATCTTATTAATATCAAGTAAGGCATAAAACTGGGAGACATATACTAGCCAAATGTGTTTGTCATGGAGGATGTTCAGCCTGGAAGCCCAATTAAAGGGGAATTTCTAATGGATGGTAAAAACCTCCAGATGCTTCCATTTTGCAGCCCAAGAATTTTGCATCATTTCCTAAATGAGATCCATAGATTTAAAAAAAAAAGTTGGCCTAACTATCCATGCAAGAAAAAACCAAGTGGCTGAAGAATACCTATTGTTAAGCTAGAGCTAGGCAGCTGAATGGATGACACATAGAGCTAGGCAGCTGAATGGACGACATATAGAGCTATGCCATCCATCAGCAAAAATATCTTGACTAGAGAGTAAAGGTGGATAAGGACCTAGACCCAGAATTGAACAAGAAAAGGAGAGCAAGCTGGTATACATTTGGAACAGTCTTCAATGCTTTTAATGACCCCAAGCATATCCCTGAAACAAAGGCCTATCTTTCTAATGTGGATGTTTTCTTAGTGATGCTTATATGGTTACAAAGCATAGAATACCACAGTCACCAAAGAGTTAAGGTTGCCCAAAGGGCAGTGGAAAGACACACATGTTGGGAGTAAACTGCACCCTGTTACCAATGGGATGAAAAATAATATAAAGAATATTATTAAAGAAATCTGTGACAAAAAGGTAAGCTGGTCCTCTAGTGGGCCGGTCAGTAGACATTTAGTGTTTGCTATGTGCTAGGCACTGTGCTAAGTGCTTTATACATATTCTCTCATTTGAGCTATGCAAAAAACTGTAAACAAGATAAATTGGAGATAATCAACAGAGAAGGGGCTAGCTTCAAGGGGGTCAGGGAAAGGCTTCCTGGAGGAGATGTGGTTTTAGCTAGGACTTGAAGGAAGCCAGGAATTCCAGGAGACAGATGAGGAGGGAGAGCATTCCAGGCACAGGGAACAGCCAATGAAGATGCCCCGAGTTGGGAGATAGAGCATGTTATTCGAAGAATAGCAAAGAGGCCAGTGTCACTGGATCACAGAAAATGTGTGTGGGGTGGGGGTAGGCAGGGAATGGAAGGTATAAGAAAACTGGACAGGAAGAGGGGAGAGCCGGGTTATGAAGGGCTTTGAATGCCAAACAGAGTATTTTGTATTTGATCCTGGAGGAGGTAGGGAGCCACTGGGAGTTTACTGAATGAGGATGGGGGGGGGAGTGATGTGGTCATACCTGTACTTTACAAATATCACTTTGGCAGCCGAGTGGAAGATGGACTGGAGTGGGGGGGGGGGAGACTTGAGGTAGATTAATGATGAGACAGTTTTTAGCAGAGCTATTAATACAAAGTTGTAATGGAAATTGAGCCCAAATGGATAATTGGCTTTACATGAAACTACTTGATATAGGAACACTCATAATAATAATATTATTCCACCTAACGTTTATATAATGCTTTGATGTTTGCACCACACAATGGCTGTATGAGGGACATGTGAGAGGTAGGATTATCCCTGTTTTGCAGGTGACTTATCACATGGTCACACATCTAATAATAGTAAGCATCAGAGGCCACCATTCTTTCCCAGGGCCATGCTGCCTCAAAGGGCAGCCTAGACTTAGTCTTTGAAGCATAAGGAATAAAGGAAATTCCTCCTTCAGATAACACCTTGTGTTCTTGTCTCTGTGGGTGTATAGTTGCATAGGACAATTTATTCCAAATGATCCCATGAGCTTGTATGTTAGTCAAAGCTTTGATTTCTTTCTGGATTGTAGGCTCTGGAACATCTGAAGCAGACATTTTCCACCAGGCACTCCTTGAAGGCAACACAGCCACTGAGGTTTCCCTCACAGTGCTGGATACCATCTCCTTTTTCACACAATGCTTCAAGGTGAGATCTGGGAGTCAGAGTACTCCTGGTCATTGCAAATGAAAAATGAGAGACAGAAGCCAAGTAGAATCATCAAACGTAAGACCTGAAAGGGCTCTTTAGAGAAAATTTGGTCCAATCCCATCAATTTGCACAGGTCAAAACTGAGGCCCACAGAGGGGTGGTGGCAAAGCCAGAGGCAGCATGGTATAGTGGAATGGCCACTGGATTGGGAGCCAGGAAATCTGCCACCAAGTAGCTATGTGACCTTGGCCAAGTCCTTTCCTTCAGGAATCACTTTCCTCCTAGAGGGCTAGACTGGATGATCTCTATACACCCTTCCAGCTTTACTATTCTGTGAATTATTATTCTATTCTAGAATTTTAAAATGCCATCTTTAAAATAGATTGTATGCTTTTTCTTAAAAGGACAAAATTAAAAAGAAGACTTTTTATAGCATAATTTATTCCTTAGTCATTTTGCTTAAGCAACTCCAAAGGGATGTGGAGTCAAGCCAGGTGCTTCTTTCTCTGAACAATAGTTGTTTTGGAGATATTTGTCTCTCTCCTTGTTGCCAAAACTCAGTTGAACACTGAAACAATGATTTCATAGGATTGTTGCTCTGAGCTTGGGGTTTTTTTTTTTCTAATTTCATCAGCATGGGGAATTCCCAGTGTAGAAACTCCCTCCATGGATGCAAATCATTGTCAATTTTTGTATAACTTAGGTAGTCCTACACCCTGCAAAGGATAGAAATCGAAAGGATTTTGCCTTTGCCTGAGCAATCCAGATCAAATCCTTTGCTCCCTCCCTTCACTTTGGCCATGCAAAACCTGATATGCAAGTTTCAAGGAATACAATAAAGGACAGTTGGATGAGGGACCCAGTTAAGGCAGCCTGCAGTCCCACTCTTGACACATGAAATCTGTTCTGATCCCAATAAAAGATATTGTGCAAAGGCATGAGAAAGGCACTTGTCCTTGCACTCTTCATTTGCTTTTTGTTGCTGTGACTTGGCTGAGCAGGAGAAGGGAGTATATAGCATCATTTGGGGAGGCCCAGCTGTTGAGGTTAGCCTTGGATCTGTCACAGCTCTGGAGTCCAGTAAAGTGTTGGCTTTTTCTTTTGTTTTCTTGTCCCATTTCAGTCCTTATTCTCTTTGGGGCAAGGAGGTGGAGTCTAAGTGGGGTTGACTAGGGTTCCTTGTTAAGATACTTCAAACCTGCAAATTGCCTTTGAATCTGAGTATCTGCTCCCCTTCACCCTCCTCTACCATCTTCTCTTCTTGCAGATGTCACTTAAACAACTGAGCAGTCAGTTGTTTAAATCATGCCTGATTAGTCAGTTCTCTCTACTGACAAATATCTAATGTCACCAGTAGACAGACTGCCTCATGGCGATCCCTATTTGAAAGTAAAAGCACATGCTAGGTAGACGTTTGACAAAAAATGTGTATTTGTTCTGTGACTCCCACTTCATTTTCCCAAAAAGAAATCCCAAGTTTCTCTCTGTAGACTGTTGGGTGTGCACCTTTGTTGAAGCTACTACCGACTGCTCTTATACAAGCTGTGTGGTTAAGTAAACAGAGATTACTAATGCTTCTTTTCTCACATTAGCTCCTTGTTTGCTTTATGGCACTGGAAAGAGAAGTCCAATTCTTAGGCTTTTCCTTCTGATTTATAAAAAGGAGTAAGAAAGCCTTCCAGATAACATCTCTGGAATATTTTGAGAGACCAAAGAAGGATCTAATTAAAACACGGTTTAATTATACCTTGGACTTTAGAATTTTCTCTAATGTGGTAGTTTGATAAGTAGTTCTGTTAGTGCTTCTCCATTGCTTATCAAAAGAACAGAAAGCTGTGTATTGTTGCAAAAATACAATTGTTTTCTTGTTTCTTGTAGAATCAACTCTTAAACAATGATGGCCACAACCCATTAATGAAAAAAGTCTTTGATATTCATCTTGCCTTTTTGAAAAATGGACAATCAGAAGCATCCCTTAAGCACGTGTTTGCCTCCCTGAGGGCTTTTATTAGCAAGGTAAGTAAGGCAGAAGGCTTTATGGCTGCCTAGTTGCCCTAAGAGGGGGTGGTTGGCAGTCACTGCCCCCAAAGGACTCTACTATTCATTTTGCTGGTTCCCAAGAACTCAGGTGAAGAAACCATGGAGAGTATCCTTGTAAAAGTCAAAAAAGAGCAACAAAGCAGTCTTAAGGCAGAGGGTCTGTAATCCAAAATAGTGGCTGCTGGTGGTTTTTCTCTTACCCTTTCATATCCTACTTTCCCAGAAGGTTCCTAGAGGCCTGTCATTTTCATTCATTCAGTCAGTCACTCATTTATTTTTAGTTTTCAACATTCACTTCCACAAGATTTTGAGTTCCAAATTTTCTCCCCATCTCACCACTCCCCCTACCCCAAGACTTCGAGCATTCTGAATACTCCTTCCCTTAATCTGCCCTCCCTTCTATCACCCACCCCCCTTCTCCTATTCCTTTCCCCTTCTGTTTTCCTATAGGACAGGATAGATTTCTATACCCCACTGCCTGTATATCTTGTTTCCCAGTTGCATGTAAAAACAATTTTTAACATTTGTTTTTAAAACTTTGGGTTCCAAATTCTCTCCCTTCCTCCATCCCCACCCACCCTCATTGAGAAGGCAAGCAACTCGATACAGGTTATACATGTGTAGTCATGCAAAACACTTCTATAGTAGTCATGTTGTGAAAAACTAACTATATTTCCCTTCATTCTACCACACCTCCCGTTTATTCTATTCTCTCTTTTGACCCTGTCCCTCCTCAGAAGTGTTTGCTTCTGATTACCCCTTCCCCCAATCTGCCCTCCCTTCCATCATCCCCCCCTCTCTTATCCCTTTCCCTCCTATTTTCCTGTAGGATAAGATAGATTTCCATACCCCATTGAGTTTATATTAAGGTACGTATAAGGTATTCCCTCCTTAAGCCAAGTTCAATGAGAATAAGATTCACTCATTCCCTCTCACCTTCCCCCACTTCCCCTCCACTGTAAAAGCTTTTTCTTGTCTGTTTTATGTGAGATAATTTACCCCATTCTACCTCTGCCTTTCTCCTCCCAGTATAATCCTTTCTCACCCCTTAATTTTATTCTCCAGATATTACCCCTTTCTCTTCCATTCACCCTGTGCCCTCTATCTATCTATCTTTCTCTCTATCTATCTATACATATTTTTTTCCCTCCAACTACCCTAATACTGGCAAAGGTCTCATGAGTTACAAATGTCATCTTTCCATGTAGGAATGTAAACTGTTCAACTTTAATAAGTCCCTTATGATTTCTTTTTCCTGTTTACCTTTTCATGCTTCTCTTGAGTCTTGTATTTGAAAGTCAAATTTTCTATTCAGCTCTGGTCTTTTCATCAAGTGTCCATTTTTCCTCTGAAGGATTATACTCAGTTTTGCTGGGTAGGTGATTATTAGTTGTAATCCTATCTCCTTTGACCTCCAAAATATCATATTCCAAGCCCTCCAGTCCCTTAATGTAGAAGCTGCTAAATCTTGTATTATCCTGATTGTATTTCCATGATACTTGAAATGTTTCTTTCTGGCTGCTTGCAATATTTTCTCCTTGACCTGGCAACTCTGGAATTTGACTATGATATTCCTAGGAGTTTTCCTTTGGGGATCTCTTTCAGGAGGTGATCGGTAGATTCTTTCAATTTCTATTTTATCCTCTGGTTCTAGAATATCAGGGCAGTTTTCGATAATTTCTTGAAAGATGATGGCTAGGCTCTGTTTTTGATCATGGTTTTCAGGTAGTCCAATGATTTTTAAATGATCTCTCCTGGATCTATTTTCCAGGTCAGTTGTTTTTCCAATGAGATATTTCACATTGTCTTCTATTTTTTCATTCTTTTGGTTTTGTTTTACAATGTCTTGATTTCTCATAAAGTCATTAGCTTCCATTTGCTCCATTCTAATTTTTAAGGAAGTATTTTCTTCAGTGAGCTTTTGGACTTCCTTTGCCACTTGACCAATTCTGCTTTTTAAGGCATTCTTCTCCTCATTGACTTTTTGGACCTCTTTTGCCATTTGGGTTAGTCTATTTTTCAAGGTATTATTTTCTTCAGTATTTTCTTGGGTCTCCCTTAGCAAGCTGTTGACTTGTTTTTCATGATTTTGTTGCATTACTCTCATCTCTTCCCAGTTTTTCCTCTACTTCTCTTACTTGCTTCTCAAAATCATTTTTGAGCTTTTCCATGGCCTGAGACTGATTCATATTTTTCTTGGAGGCTTTGGATGTAGGAGCTTTGACTCTGTTGTCTTCTTCTGGTTGTATGTTTTGATCTTCTTTGTCACCACAGTAAGATTCTATGGTCTGACTTTTTTTGCGCTGTTTGCTCATGTTCCTAGCCAATTATTTGACTTAAACTCTTTGTTAAGGTAGGGGTCAGCTTCCAGTGTAGAGAATGTACTGTCCTAAACTTCAGGAGTTTTGTGCAGCTGTTTTCAGAGATACTTCTAGGGACCTGTAAGTTTTCAGTTCTTCCAAGGTGGTATGATAAGGGGCAAGGTGTTTACTCCTTTCCTGGCCTATGCTCTGGTCTATGAGTGACCACAAGCATTCTTTTCTGCCTTGGAACTGTGAGGAGGATTCCCTCTCCACCACTACCACAAGCTCCACCACACCAGCACTCCTCCTCACCCCAGGTTCGCCACCCAGAACTGTGACCCAGATCCAATCATGGGCAAAGCAAGAGAATCCTGCCTCAGCACCAGCAAAGAGATCCCTGCAATCCCCCTCTGATCACTTGCTTGATCCCCACTCTGTTTGTGGGCCGAGAGCTCCAGAAGCAGCCACCTCCCTGGGGCTACGCTTGGACTGGGGCAAAACCAAGCTCCTCTCTCACCAAGGTCACAGACTTTTCCTACTGACCTTCTAAGTTGTCTTTGGTGTTGGTGGGTTGAGAAGTCTGAAAACTGCCACAGCTGCCCATGATTCAGTCTTCAGAGGCCTGCTCCAGGTTCGCTGAGGCCTGGTCTTTGCCTGTTCTGCCCACACCTCTCCCAGCCTGGTGCAACAGACTTTTCCAATCAACCATCCAGGTTGTCTTGGGTTGGAAATTTGTTTCACTCTGTCTTTTTGTGAGTTCTGCTGCTCTAGAATTTGTTTGGATCCATTTTTTTTACAGGTGTTTGGAGGGGTTTGGGGGAGAGCTCAAGCAAGTCACTGCTTTTACTCTGCCATCTTGGCTCCTCCCCAGGCCTATCATTTTCAAAGAGTTACTTGTGCCAGTTTTCCTTTTCTCCTGCTTTTAAAAATTTCATTGTAAAATTGAAGCAGAAGAATGATAATCTCTTCATCATTCTTCCACTAGACTATAAGCTCCATGGGGCAGGGACTGTCTCTTAAACAGCACTGAGGATAGAACATTGTACTTAAGAAACGTTTGTTGAATTCTTTCTGAAGGCCCCAAATTCTCAGGTCACTTACCTCATCAGCAAAACAAACCTCATGAAGAGTCTTGTGAATGTTGTGTTCAGAGTATTGTGTTCAATTCTGGGCATCACAGTTTAAGAAGGACTTTGATAAACTGGAGAACATCCAGAGGAGAGCAGCCAGGATGATGAATAGCCAAATGAGGACTGGTGAAGGAAACAGGGATGTTAGTCTGGAAGAGAGAAGACTTGGAGGATGTGGGAGCAATGATGTGAAGGGCTATCATGTGGAAGAGGACTTGGGCTTGTTCTGCTTGGCCTCCAAAGGCACCCCTAGAAGCAACTTAAACTTGATGCCAGGGGAAAGTTCCTAATGATGAGCACTGTCCAAAGTAGAATAGGCTGCCTTGAGAGGAAGTCTTGAAGCAGATCCATTTGTCAGGCATGTTATAGTAGGCATTCCTTGTAGTTATGGATTAGACCAGATGGCCACCAAGGTCCTTTCTTGTTCTCAAATTCTGTAACTGAGGCAAAAGCCATTGAGTCTAGCAGATTGCAAAGATGTTTGTGGCCAAAGAAAGACAAGATGAAGTAAAACCTACTTCAGCCTCCTCTCGTTATGTGTGTAATTTCAACAAGATAAAGACATTCACAACAAGATAAAGACATTCATTTGTATTACATAGCTGGGGAGCAAATTGCCACTATTTTTTGAATAGCATCTGATTGAAATTGGAAGAGGTCCAATAAATAGATGCAAAATGGAAATCTGCCAGCATTTCTATAACTGTGTATTTTCATCACCAGTGATAGTGAAGTCACTACATCTGAATTCACCTTAGGTGATGTGATATATGAGGAAGTGGAAATGCCCCTCACGAAGTTCATATGGAAGAAATTTGTGCTGGAAGTGACTTGATTTAAAAGGCACCTAAGTATAATGAAAACATGGCTTTGGAGACAGAGGTCCTGGGTTAAAAACCTGACCTACCATTTGCTACCCTGTGTAAACTTAAGCAAATAACTTAACCTCTCTGAGTTTAGTTTCCTTACCTGAAAAAGTGAGGGAATTGAACTAGATGACCTCCAAGGATCCTTCCACCTTGAAATCTCTGTTCCTCTGATGTGCTCATTGTCACACAGCTAAGATGGGCCAGATTCGGAATTTAACTGTCTTGGTCCTCCTCCTACCCATCTGACCTGTCCTCAGTCTCTTTTGCTTGATCTTTAGATTGTGCCCTGCCAACTGTCATCCAAGGCTCTGTACTGGGCTCTCTTTTCCCTCTGTACTATTTTGCTTGGTGAATCTCATAGTGAATAATCACCATGAATTCAATTATCATTTCTCTGCAGATAATTCTCAGATCTATACCTCTAGCCTTAACCTCCAGTCCCACGTTTCCAACTGCCTACTGTACATCTAGAACTGAATGTCCCATAGACATCTTAAGTTCGACATGTCCAACACTGAACTCACTATCTTTGCTCCCCAACTTTCTCCTCTTCTTAATGTCTCTAGTACTGTCAAGGGTCATATCATCTTTCCATTCACCCAGGCCCTTTCCTCTCTTTCACTCCCCATATTTAATCTGTTGCCCTTTTCTCCTCTGACATTGCCATCATTCTT